CTATGCTATTTGGCCGCTTAGACACTATTTCCCTTAATTATTGAACAGTTTAATACCGTGACACATATATGTCTAGATAATTTCTAAGTCTAAAATATCGGATTATGCAACAGCTAATCATTATTATATTTAGTTTTAACTTAAATGTATCATGAAGCTTCTAATTGTCTAAAAGTAAACTGAATTTTACTTGGTCAGAAACTGTTAACAAGAACTTGTGCAGAAAAAAATCCAAATTTGCATCAATTCAATTAAAGTTTATGAGAAAAATTTAAAGAGGTCACGACACTACAACAATGTCATTCGTGTTGTTTGTTTTGTATGTATTTATTGTGTTTATACAGTATATTCAATCTTTTTTTACCATAAAATAATCCTATATAGCAAGTTAAGAAAACTGTTGAAAAATTTACACATGGACATGTCTTGCAGTTTTCATACGAGGGGGCAGCAAATTGTTATACATTATTCCCTGACGAATACTTTAAAAACTTGTAAGCAGCAGCAGTATTTGCCCTAATGTCATGACATGCACTACTATCATTGCAATATACTGTATCCTTAAGCCTCAGTCTCACTTACTCCCGGCAGAGCCCAGGATCATCCCGGTAAGTTACCGGGATGATCCGGGACGATCCGGGGTGAAATTATTGTTGCGGTCACACTTACCCCGGCAGCACTACGGTAGTTCTCAACTAACCACCCAGGATGCGCTCCTGATCATCCAGGCAGAACCCAGGTGCAGCTACGGTTCATGCCGGTGCTTCCCCGGTCGTTCCCGGATGACACCGGAAGAGCCCCGGTTGACCCAGGCAGAGCCCCGGTCGATCCAGGCAGAGCCCCGGCAGAGCCCAGGACGATCCAGGCAGAGCCCCGGTAGAACCCCGGTGGATTGAAAACGCCCGAAAATGATAACATTGATACATAATTTTTATTTAATATAATATCTATTGTTCCGGAATAGTTATTCATGATGATTTTCTGAAAAATCCTGATGCCATACTGGATAGAAGGGAAATGAGAGGGGTTTTAATACCAGCAAGTGCAATCATCGCAAATTGTCGTTATTCTTTTGAAATGATCCGGGCTTTGCCGGGGTTCTACCGGGATCAACCGTAGCTCTACCTTTATCATCCGGGGCTCTGCCTGTATTTTCCGGGGCTCTGTCGGCATTTTCCGGGGCTCTACCGTAGCTCTACCGTAGCTCTACCGGCTATATCATACCCCGGATCATCCCCGGTTTGTGCCGGCAGAGCTACGGTGCTTCCCCGGTATAACCCCGGTCGTTCCCGGCAGAGCTAAGGATGAAGCCGGCAAAGCTATACCTTCCCGGATCATCCCGGACCACCCCGGTGATATTAAATATTTTATTCCATCCGGGATCGAATGCCGGATGTTCCCGGATCATCCAGGATCATCCAGGACGTTGCCGGCAGAGTTACGGATGTACTCCGGTTGTTCCCGGTCGTACCCCGGTCGTTCCCGGATCACCCCGGATGTCTACCGGGGCTCTGCCGGGATGTAAGTGAGACTGTAGCTTTAGATTATTAGCAGATGATATCTGCTAAGTTCATCCTGAACATCAAATAAATCTAAGGAATATATCAAAAAAGTGCAATATAATGTCAAAAAAGTTACAAATATTATTAATATAATATATAATTGATCGGTGTAAAGAAGAACGTCTGATATAAAAAGTGAATAATTTCCAGGATCTGTAGATTACTATATGTGACAACTACTAGTAATTGGCTTACAAGAAAACAGAAATTTAAACATTTAATATAATAATTGCTACAAAAATTATGTATTATTAATCTCATAGAGAACCGTAACATCATTTTTTAAAGTAATATACCAAAGTTCCACACTCACTTTGAATTGTGCCAGAATTATTTTTTTTCTGACTGGTATGGTATTTCACAACTTATGCACTTTCAGTGTTTGCATCATGCGATTTTCCATTACAAATCACTATTTGATCTCATCTGATCAATCTAAACGCGTTTTCAAAAAGAGGATAGCAAATCCATATCGCAACCCATATCAGCCTCGTTTTCATTTTTGGAGTCCAAAATATCTTTATTAAATGCATATCATACTCCATATAGCCTCGTTTTCATTTTTACAGTCCAAAAAAATCAAATTCAAATTAAAGTATCAAAATTCTGTCAAAATGTCAATATTTGGTATAAAATAAAGAGCTCATTATACATTGTTGAGAACAATAATTATTATAATGGACAAGTACACACCTCTAAAACATATTTCATACTCGGCCAGCTACTCCTCTAATATAGTTTCGACGGTTGTGAACTCATCCAGTAGAATTCAGTATTGTACTCAGAAATGTATTATAACCTCATGGTACATGTATATATAGGACCTGTTATGAGTTGTGCTATTATACTTAATGTATGTAGCGTTAGTTTTTATTGGAAAAGCCATATATACATTTCTATAAATTTGTAAATTCTAAATTCAAAATTTCACCATTTCCATGTTTAGATTTTGAATTCCACTTTTAATCCAGTCTTAGGGGGCTTTACAACAGCTTGCATTTACTACATATGTCCATGAAAACAGGGTCAACCAAAACGTACCTGCAACACTTATAAATTTGCCGTATCAGGCGTTTTGGGGATTTTAGCTGTTTATCTCATTTTTAATATCATTAAATTATATTATATTTAATATTAATTTCTAATTTTAAGTATTCTTTATATGTTTTGGCAAAAATGATCAAATTATCAACTTTTTATGTCCAACTTGCAATTACATGTACTTATATGGTTGATATGGGCGTGTATTATTAAATAATGGTTTTCGATGTTGACAAAAGAAGAGGACGTTTTAAGACTAATGTTCTGCGTTGTTTTTAATTTATGATATATCCACAGTCACATCTTTGTCCTTTAAAAGCCTATTATATGATCTTGTATGATCGAACTGTAAAAACCTTTCAACAGTAAAAAAGGACGCAGGGAACAAAGAGCGGTTTATTTTTCTTTTAATTTAATTTTAACGTCTATGTTCATTCCATACGAGTTTAAGTGTCCGAATTATTAAAAGTTTGACAGATGAAAGTATTACAGAATTAGCATAGATTTTAAGCCGGCGTGACTTGCCTGAATATTTTTTTCCAAATTGTATTTTCTTCTTTCACAGTATTAGGAAAAAGAGTTGAGACAGATAACAAGGTAAATCTACGCAGCTATATTCATATGTCAATTATTCCTTTCGTCCCTACGTCTTTCAGAAATCGTTCTATTGATACTGATCTTGTTTTGTCTATGTCAAAAAAATCCATTACGAATTTATAATACAGCAGATCGAAATCCTTTATCTATGGAAAAATTAATGGAAAATTAATTAATTTACAGCTGTCTAGTAAATAAATACATTTGCAATTCATAGATATTCGGCAACTGAACCCTTTGTAGACAGATTTTGTAAGTTTTCTTTTCAGACAAGTTTACAATATGATTTGAATGACAGAAAAAAATGGCGACAGGAGCTAGATTAAAAAAAATCTGCTTTTTCTTTTGCAATACATATCTTTTAACACATAGCTAATTAAGTCTATTGGACCTCTATCCTAGGAAACGACTATCATCAAATTAAAAAGTAAAGTAATATATGAATATTGACAAATTAAGATAATCCGTCCACAAGTTTTCCAAATATATGTACACATGTATGCCATGTTCTATTCAGGATTAAGAGATGCCAAGCTTCCAATTATTTTCATACCTTCTAGTGAGGTTTTTGAACTACTTAAATATTTTGTTGAAACGTAAATAGTTTGTCAGTCAACAATTTTTTATTTAATTTCGGAATATGATGAGTTTTCGTGTATGGATCACTTAACATTTTGAACAATTTCCCTTTCATTGTCTCAAAGCTGTTTTAGGACATTTTTTTTAAGCCTGTTGTTGGGACTTTGACACACCTGAACTCACGAACAAGATTATTCCTAAAAAACTATCAAATGAAAATACATGGATGGGCGATTACTTCGAAATATCGAACAGTCAAAGAGTGTTTCATTTTTTCAAATATAAGTCATATTGAACAGAAAAAATGCAAATTATAATTTTTTACATCCATACAGCCTATAATGTTTATATCATATCCTGCCGGAATTTCACAGCTCTTTTTAACAGAAACTCATTTTGTTGTTACATGTAAGCTTGGTCCAGTGATGAAATAATGTTTGTAGACATTTATTGAATGACATGTAAATAGTCTCTTATAATTCTCCAAAGAATAGATATACTGTACATGATCAGTTTAATCACTAAACAGTTAAGATCAGATTTTAGTATAGAAATAAATTAAACTTTTTTCCTACCAGTATACAGTACTGTACTAGGTCCAGCAAGATCAGTCTGCTCCTCTGTGAAGAGTATTCATTTTCAGTGTGGATACAAAGATTGTTCAAATCCTACTGGGAGCCAAATTTTTATTTTTAATTTATTGTTCTAATTCATTATTTTTGTTTGGTAAGATCCTTTTTGCACAAATTGTATTTAGATAATAATTATTTGAAGATACAAGGATGCCCCATAGAAAATTGAAAAATATGACCCCTCTCCTTTTTTTCTTACAACAAACCAGTTTCTTTTTCAGATATGCGTTTCTTTGGTTTTGTTTCTTTTCATTTCAAAACACTGGGTGTTTCTTACCACTTCTAAAGTTACTGTAAATGGAGACGAAGTAAGTAAAACTGTTATTTAATTGATGAAACCATATTTGTTGTTGAACTGATACAAATTTTTACTTAAATCGTCAATATTTTTCATGCATTTAAGACGGCAAACTTTTGTTATTTTTACTATTTGTGTCAAAATATGATAAAGATTAATAATATAAAGTTTTTTTAAATGGCTGTTGTTCAAACAATGTGGACATATCTGTAAGAGTTAACTCAGTTAATGAAGGAACACATATAGTAGTATTCTACCTTATAAATTGGTTGTGTGAAACCTGATCCGCTAGAGGGCAGTTATACTTTCGCTTTGATCATTTCTGGAAAAAACGATATCTTTTTGCTAAAGTTTTAACCCTGGAAAAAAATACTGACAGGTACATTTAAATAAGCAGATTCATGTTGTATGCGATTTTTGTTGCTGAATATTTTACGTCTGTGTAATAGATGGAGAAATAAAACAAAAATATTTTATACGCAGTGTTGTCTGGGTAATCGAATGAGACTGAGAGCTTAAATAAGACTCTACTTTCGTTTTCAAAAGATAATTATCTGATCAATAAAATGCCCCAGCTACTGTTTGCTCGACTGCATCATTATTAAAACATACACATTGAGCTTTTAAAAAAGGCTTGGTATTAAATCAAACTGTTGCTAAATAAATTAAAAGTAAATTAAGATTTTTAACAGTTTCAATCAAAGTATTCCATTATAGTTTATTGCCATAAATATGTATGACTTTCCTGGTTTTGAGTACTATAGTAATTTAATAGTAATTATCCCCCGCCGATGGAATCGGAAGGGGGATATAGTTTTGGCGTTGTCCGTCCGTCCGAATTTCATTTCCGGAGTAGTTCTCTGCAACTACTGGCTGGAATTCAACGAAACTTTATGGGAATCATCAATATCAAGAGGAGATGCGCATATCGTCGGCTTGTTCCGGTCCGACCCTTTAACTCAGAGTTATGGCCCTTGATTAGTTATGTAGTATGCATATAGAGTAAAAATGGTTTCCGGAGTAGTTCTCTGCAACTACAGTTGAGTTCACACTAAACTTCCCACCCTTGTGCACTTCTAGTGCACTAGAGCTGAACTAGAAGTGCACACCGTGTGCACTTCTAGTGCACTAGACCATATGACCAGGCTGGCCAGGGAAGGTGACTGACACCTAAATGGTTTATTGGATAATTGTATATCAAGTGACAGGGGGCATCTATTGTTAAGCTGCTGTGAGAAAAAAACTTTGGGCATATATGGCCTATTCATGAATATAAATAAGTATTTTAAAATTTTAACATTTTAGGTGATATCATGTTAAAGCTTAAAATTAAAAAAAAATTGTTTATTGTAATCATATTTTTATTAACAAGTATTTAACTGTAAGTGTAAAATAATACCCCTTAAAATCAAATTTATAGAATTAATAAGGTTAAGTTTAAATATTCTCTGTAATGGATAATTGTGTAAAAGTGTTTTTAAAGCTATTTTTGATGGCCATGTATTTCAATTTTTATAGGGTACAAATGGGAAAATCAAAATGTGATAATTCTGGCCAAATTAATTTAGTTTGTAACAACATTAACTTTTTTTTCATAAGCTCAAACAAATCATGGAAAGGTTTATATTTAAGCTAAAATATTATTTCTATAATATATGTACTGGCTGGAATTCAACGAAACTTTATGGGAATCATCAATATCAAGAGGAGAAGCGCATATCGTCGGCTTGTTCCAGTCCGACCCTTTAACTCAGAGTTATGGCCCTTGATTAGTTATGTAGTATGCATATAGAGTAAAAATCGTTTCCGGAGTAGTCCTCTGCAACTACTGGCTGGAATTCAACGAAACTTTATGGGAATCATCAATATCAAGAGGAGATGCGCATATCGTCGACTTGTTCCGGTCAGACACTTTAACTCAGAGTTATGGTCCTTGATTAGTTATGTAGTATGCATATAGAGTAAAAATCGTTTCCGGAGTAGTCCTCTGCAACTACTGGCTGGAATACAACGAAACTTTATGGGAATCATCAATATCAAGAGGAGATGCGCATATCGTCAGCTTGTTCCGGTCAGACACTTTAACTCAGAGTTATGGTCCTTGATTAGTTATGTAGTATGCATATAGAGTAAAAATCGTTTCCGCACTACTTCTCTGCAACTACTGGCTGGAATTCAACGAAACTTTATGGGAACCTTCAATACCAAGAGGAGATGGGCATATCGTCGGCTTGTTCCGGTCAGACACTTTAACTCAGAGTTATGGCCCTTGATTAGTTATGTAATATGCATATGGAGTAAAAATCGTTTTCGGAGTAGTTCTCTGCAACTACTGGCTGGAATTCAACGAAACTTTATGGGAATCATCAATATCAAGAGGAGATGCGCATATCGTCAGCTTGTTCCGGTCAGACCCTTTAACTCAGAGTTATGGCTCTTGATTAGTTATGTAGTATGAATATAGAGTAAAAATCATTTCCGCACTACTTCTCTGCAACTACTGGTTGGAATTCAACGAAACTTTATGGGAACCTTCAATACCAAGAGGAGATGCGCATATCGTCGACTTGTTCCGGTCAGACACTTTAACTCAGAGTTATGGCCCTTGATTAGTTATGCAGTATGCATATGGAGTAAAAATCGTTTCCGCGCTACTTCTCTGCAACTACTGGCTGGAATACATCGAAACTTTATGGGAACCTTCAATACCAAGAGGAGATGCGCATATCGTCGACTTGTTCCGGTCAGACACTTTAACTCAGAGTTATGGCCCTTGATTAGTTATGCAGTATCCATATAGAAAAATATTTGTTTCCTCCCTACTTCTCTGCTACTACTGGCTGGAATTCAATGAAACTTTATGGGATACTAAGAGGAGATGTGTATATAGTCGCCTTGGTCAGATACTTATAACTCAGATTTATGGCCCTTGATTAGTTATGTAGTATGCATACATCTCATTGGCATTTCCAGATTTTACTATTTAACACAAAGTTATGGCTCTGTTATTGCCCTGAATATTTATCAAGTTCAAAGAATATTACTGTTTATGCCATGATTAATATATAAATAAAGCCTTATGCCTTCAGTTGTTGTGTTAATAATAACCAGTACTCGGCGGGGGATATAAATTCAACGAATTTGCTTGTTTCCCTATCCATTGTCTTATGGAAACATACGTATCAAAAGCATATAGATACCTGTACTGGCATGCGAGCAGTTCCCATACAAAAGCAGTACTGTATCCATATTTTTCATGTTAACACTTTATGTTACTTGCATTCTTGAAGAATTGATATTAAATCATGCAGATGTGTGAACAAAACCAAATCTATGTGTCGTATTGGCAGAAGGTACAAATTTATTTTTCATTTTGGCAATATCCAGGAATAGTCCCCCCGTGACAAACGCATTTAACGAACAGGAAAATAGGTTCAACTGGTCATTTACTTTTATTAATAATATCTGTCATATTTTGCGATTAGGAACGGAATATCCGTCCCGAGGTGACCCGCCCATTGGGCGGTAACGAGGCTTGCCGAGTTACCGCCCATGGGCGGGTGACCGAGGGACGGATATTCCGATCCGAACCGCAAACATATGTCAGATATTTTTTCTTGCATATTCTACCATATTCCATTATAGTTTAAATTCTTTATGTTTACTTTCAATGAAAATTTATATCATTACAACCGTAACTACTTTCATTCAATAGCGTATGAATTACAAAATCATTCATAACGGTAAAATGACGTCATCTTCATCGTGCCATTGTACAGCACGCGACTCATCTGGAACCCCCCATGCCAGATGAAATTTCCGGCATGGGTAAAACTAACGGAAACGCCAGTCTGATATGCAAGAAAAACGTTTCTAAACACAAAGGACTAACGTTTTGTAGGTTTACTTTTTGTAGGCATGCTTAAATAATGTTGGAATTTGAGAAAAATGCGTTGGTCTCTTGATTCAAATTTTCAATCTGTCAAATCTGCATATTTATGAGGGAATATAGAGAAAAATCTGCGGTGTAGAGTCTGAAGAAATATATGACTAGACATCGGATCCAGTTCCTTACAAGCAAAGCACAAGTACATCCTGTAGAAACTGAACTACTTGTAGTATGGACTGGAATAAAATCACCTACCCGTTTTCCCCACAAATAATCCTCCATCTTGAAAATTCTGTACTGTTACCAGAAAGCGCGATACTGTAACAAGGTCCCTACGGTGTTTACGCTTCAAACCAAAAAAATAAATAGAATTTATACAGAAATTCATGCTGGGACTTTTACAAATGTCATTTTAGCATGATTTGAGTACATAAGATAATTTTTATATTTTTGTCATTAATTTGCCTGAGCATCCCTTTAAGTCTTCTTGCGTAAAAATGCATTGCCAAGAGCTTAAATATTTATCCTCGAGTATTTCCCAGCAGACATCTACAAATATTAAAAAAAATAATGCAGGCTGGAAAAAAGGGGAAAAAAAAAGAAAAAACCCAATGTGACCTCATTACTGGCTTTAACTTTTTTCTAGCAATGTCTCTCAAGTGAGAGATCCAGGGCCATAATATGCCCCTGTTATTTAAAAATCTTATAAAGTTTGTTTAGATAAAGATCCTGTAACATAATCTTTTCATGGTTTTATTTCATAAATATGATGCTCAAATTAAGATTTGTCAATATTGTAAGTTCCAATAAGCATTATTATGTCTCCCCCACCTCGGGGGGAGACATATTGTTTTTGCCCTGTCCGTCCGTCAGTCCGTCCGTCCGTCAGTCCATCCGTCCATTCTTCGTTTCCGGACGATAACTAGAGTTCCTTTTGACCTACAGCCCTCAAACTTCATAGGATGATTGGTCTTATAGAGCAGATGATCCCTATTGTTTTTGGGGTCAGTAGGTCAAAGGTCAAGGTCACAGTGACCGTTGGTCAATTTCTCGTTTCCGGACGATAACTAGAGTTCCTTTTGACCTACAGCCCTCAAACTTCATAGGATGATTGGTCTTATAGAGCAGATGATCCCTATTGTTTTTGGGGTCAGTAGGTCAAAGGTCAAGGTCACAGTGACCGTTGGTCAATTTCTCGTTTCCGGATGATAACTAGAGTTCCTTTTGACCTACAGCCCTCAAACTTCATAGGATGATTGGTCTTATAGAGCAGATGATCCCTATTGTTTTTGGGGTCAGTAGGTCAAAGGTCAAGGTCACAGTGACCGTTGGTCAATTTCTCATTTCCGGATGATAACTAGAGTTCCTTTTGACCTACAACCCTCAAACTGGGGGGAGACATATTGTTTTTGCCCTGTCCGTCCGTCAGTCCGTCCGTCCGTCCATTCTTCGTTTCCGGACGATAACTAGAGTTCCTTTTGACCTACAGCTCTCAAACTTCATAGGATGAATGGTCTTATTGAGCAGATGATCCCTATTGTTTTTGGGGTCAGTAGTTTAAAGGTCAAGGTCACAGTGACCGTTGGTCAATTTCTCGTTTCCGGATGATAACTAGAGTTCCTTTTGACCTACAGCCCTCAAACTTCATAGGATGATTGGTCTTATAGAGCTGATGATCCCTATTGTTTTTGGGGTCAGTAGGTCAAAGGTCAAGGTCACACTGACCGTTGGTCAATTTCTCGTTTCCGGATGATAACTAGAGTTCCTTTAGACCTACAGACCTCAAACTTCATAGGATGATTGGTCTTATTGAGCAGATGATCCCTATTGTTTTTGGGGTCAGTAGTTCAAAGGTCAAGGTCACAGTGACCGTTGGTCAATTTCTCGTTTCCGGATGATAACTAGAGTTCCTTTTGACCTACAGCCCTCAAACTTCATAGGATGATTGGTCTTATAGAGCAGATGATCCCTATTGTTTTTGGGGTCAGTAGGTCAAAGGTCAAGGTCACAGTGACCGTTGGTCAATTTCTCATTTCCGGATGATAACTAGAGTTCCTTTTGACCTACAACCCTCAAACTTCATAGGATGATTGGTCTTATTAATCAAATGATCCCTATTGTTTTAATGGTCAGTAGGTCAAAGGTCAAGGTCACAGCGACCGTTGGTTAATTTCTCCTTTCCGGATGATAACTAGAGTTCCTTTAGACCTACAACCCTCAAACTTCATAGGATGATTGGTCTTATTGAGCAGATGATCCCTCTTGTTTATGGGGTCAGTAGGTCAAAGGTTAAGGTCACAGTGACCATTGGTCATTTTCTCATTTCCGGATGATAACTAGAGTTCTTATCAGTGAGGACATTTAACTATTATTGATATATCAGTGATATATCAGTTGTCTGGTTTTATATACTCTGTTCTTTTATCTCCATTTCCATTCCTGTTTCCATTCACAGTTATTCTCAGCAGTGGGGGAGACATGCGCTTTTTTACAAAAGCATCCTCTAGTTTATAAAGATATTACCCAATTTAACATTTCATGTAAATAAAGGGAGGTAATTAGAAATTTATTTCCATAAATTCTAAGTCAAATTTTCCAATAAGAAATGAATGCATGTAATTTATTGATTAAATATAATGTGCACAAATATTTGCAGTACACTTTTTACATATTCATGATGTTTGAAAATTGTTTTATTTGCATAATTATATACATATACAGTTGACTCTCAATAAGTCAAAATCGCTTTACTCAAAATTCGGCCTTAGTCGAATAATTTCTAAAGTCCCGTCAAATTTTCTTCTTTATATTTGTATTTTAACTCCGCTTAGGTCAAATTTTGACTTGCCGAGACTCCTGTTTAGTCGAAAAGAAAAATTTGGTCCCTCAATTAAAGTCCAACATATTTACATCTCAATAAGTCGAAGTCTGATCAAAGGTCGGCAACATCAAGGTGAGATGTTGTCACTCATGATTTACACGTTTCATAGTAATTTTTAATTGCTGGTCATCATGTATTACTAACACGTCGTAAAAGTGGCTTTAATCCGTTTCAGGACTTAATTGGTTTTAACAGTTAGATAACTAAATTAAAATTTAATTACATTTCTTAAAGAAAGTTGACTCATGCCAGTCTGACGGGTGTTAGTCAAATAACAGCCTAGGTAGTGATGTGTGTTATCAACGTAAAGGACATTTGTTTAATTAATTATCTGTCATATTTGTACTTCCGGTTCAGGATAGTTGCTAATTTCGTTTTCGTCCGATGATGAATTAAATCAAATGTAATTGTGTGTTTCTGTTTCACTATTAATATACATGTATTAAATTTTGATTGATATATTTTTGTTCATTAATAATTTGCAGTTGTAAGTGATTTACCGTCATTTCAATGGTTGAATATTGCAGCATTGCCCCTAACAACAATAACAAACCTACTCCTTTGCACATTCAATCAGGCACATGTATATACATGTAATGGTGGTAGTTCCACGTTACTCGAATTCCGTTTCTCTCGAAGTTAAATGCCCAGTCCCTTGGATTTCGAGTTACCGAGAGTCAACGGTATAATGTTTTGCAAGTGTGGTATATACACGTGTGGTATATATGACGTTTATGTTTCAGAAATAAAGAGGAATAGTCCTGCATTATGAAGTGCTCTGACAGCACATGTAGTTCTGTGGGGCCGGGCAAGTTTTGTCATGAGTGTGGGTCAAAGATGATTGAAGAAGTTAAAACAGATACTGTTGTTATATGCAATGGCAAACAAGACAATGGAGACCCTTGTCAGTCAGAGCTTGTGAAGGGACTAAAATTTTGTCCTAATTGTGGAACAAAAGTTGACCAGTCATTATTTAATCTTCAAGAGGAAAGATGCAGTAAATGTAGCCATATCCTACTAACAGGACAGTCATTCTGTACTGAATGTGGTCATAGAAAAAATGTTAGAAGTAAGTAAATTATTAAATGTTATAATCCAAATCCTGTATCTACATCCCCGCTTTACAAAGTAGTAAGTGAGGTATACTGGAATCAGCTTGTGTGGCTATTAGGCCACCATCAAAGACATCCAAACCTTGTATGATATATTATGTAAAGGTATGGCACTTGTAAATATTAAATAGTTAATAGTTATCCTACACACCTGTGTTTCAATGTTTCACTTTGGTCAAAGCTTGCTTGCAACATTATGTGCCATCAAATATTGATTATAATAGAGAGTCTCTGTCCAAAGCCTATGAATTGAGCTTAGAATTTGACTGAGTTATAAGATTTTGTGTACTCAGAAAATTTCTAATTGAAGTAAGTGTGCAAGATAAATCTTTATAACTACTGAAGGTATTCACTTGAAACTTCACAGATGTCTGAAGGTCACAGTCTACAATCGCACCCCTTTCTAATCTATCAAAATTTCTTATTTATTTTTGTTTGCAGTGTAAATAGAAAAATTGTTCTCTTAAGACTGCAAGTATGTCTTCATGATGATTATTGTAGGTCAATGAAGAAATGCATGCCGTTTCAATAACACAACAATATGAAAATAACTAAAGAATCGTGCAATAGCCAATAGTAATGCATAATTGTGCAATTCTATAGCTGAATATATTATACATGTAACTATGCTTCAATGTAGTATTATGATTATGATAATGGTAGTTTGAAAAAATAATGTCTAAGGATTATTGCATTGTTGTACTTATCATATCAATAAAACACAAATTTTTTCCTCAAAACAGTAGTGAAGTTGTTATTCTCACGATTGATGTAAAAAAAGAAACATATTTGTAGAAACAATTTTGTTACCATATTACCATTTATTACTGAAAGGCGTTTTTAGGATTATGTAATTTTCCATTATGAATGAAGTTTTAAATTTATATGCAACTAAAAGAAAAAAGTGCTACCTGAAAATATAATTTCTTTCCGTAATATTATTAATATATAATATACAAGACAGAGAATCAAAGGCGGGCAGTAAGCCACATTGAATTTACCAGAGCACAGTTTAACCATCGCATAGTTGCTGGGCAGGCTGTCAAGCAGTTTACCAGTACAAGTAGCCTTCACTTTCGCAAGGAACTGAAACTTCTGTACATGCCAGAGCAGAGGTACAGTGTGAGTGACCGTGATCAAATTTACCTGATTGCAGTCCTACTAGAAGTATTTAATTTCAATGGGAGATAACCCATTACTGCAATAAGGTCTGGAGAATTGTGTCTTATGCTAAGTTACTTTCAATTTTTACTTCTTACTACAATATTAAGTACAGGTTAAAGTTTATTAGTACATATTTACAAAATTAAATTGGTGACCAATTTGTTTTTGTTTACTATATACTAATAAATTTTAACCTGCTGTTGCTGATTTACCAAAGTAAATGTGTTACGATTCATCTCAAATACTACAATCCTATTGGACAAAAATAATTTCAAAAACTTATCAGTATTAATCTGTAAAGATATAATATTGCAGTGGTATTTTTAAAAAAAAACAAACAAAACAGGTTGGCCATTTTCAGAAAATATGGCAATGTGTACTGTATTACGTCATAGATAAAAATAAAAAAGTCAAAGGTTAGGTACATGTATATATGCCAGTGCATTATTTTTTTGTCCAATAGGATTGCAGTATTTCAAATGAATCGTAACACATTTTCTTTGGTAAATCAGCAAACTGATAATCAGTCTAGTATATCAACTATTTATAAAAATAATTTTAAACAGCAGGTTAATATTTATTAGTATATATATTAACAAAAACAAATTGGTCATCAATTTAATTTTGTAAATAGTACTTATAAACTTTAACCTAAACTTAATCTGTAAAGATATAATAATGCAGTGGTATTTTTCAAAAAAACAAAACAGGTTTGCCATTTTCAGAAAAAACCAAGTTTTATTCTCTAAAAAAATTTAAAAATTGTTTAAAAAAGGTTAACTTTAACACTTAATTTTAAAAAAGCGTTTTAAAAATGAAAACCCAAAAGAAAAAGGGGTTTTAAGCATAAATAAAAAGATAAATTGATAAATAAAAAGGGGGGTTTTTAAATTTTTTAGCCAAAACGAATGAAACACGGGTTTAACCAAAATTAAATTTTAAACTCTTTTTTTTTAAAAGATTTTTTTCAAAAAAATCTATAAAAAGTCTTAAAATTTCTTTGATTAAATTTTTAAAAAAACCTTTTACAAATTTTTTAAAAAATCAAAAAATATATTGCATTTTTTTTTTATGATAAAAAAAAAAGGGCGGGATAGGTTTTTTCCCTTTTTTTAAAATTTTTTGTTTTTTCCCAAAAAAGAAAATCCTTTATTAAATTTTAGTAAGAAAATAAATTTTTAAAAATTTTGTCATGTTATATCTTTTTTTTTCATTTTTTTTGGGTTTTCCCTTTTTTCCGCTGTTAAAATAAAAATAATGATAAAAAGGGGGGGGAATTTTTAAAAAATTAATTTGGCCTTATCAAAAAAGGTTTAAAGGGGAGGTGTTTTTAAAAAAATTTAAAATCTTTTGAAAAAAAAAGGTTTTTTGTAAAATTTTAAGGGTTTTAAAAAATTAAATTTTAAGTTTTTTTTTAAATTGGGGAAAATTTGGGGGAAAAAAGGGTTTTTTTTTAAATTTTATAGTTTAATTATTTTTTAACTTTAAAAATTTCATAAATTAAGAGTTTTTTTTTAAAATTTTGGGGGATATTTTTATTAAAAAAATTTTTTGAAAAAAAATTAAAATGGGAAATTAAATTTTGTTGACTTTTAAATTAAGGTCCCTTTTATCTTTTAAAAAAACTTTAAAAAAACTTTTAAAACAAAATAAATTAAAACAAATTTTTTTTTTTTTTTTCGGGGGAAACCCCTTTTTTTTGCCCCAAAAAAAACCCAAAAATTTTTGGAAAAATTAGGGGTTTATTTCTTAAACTTTTTGATAAAAAAAATTTTATGTGGTAAAAAAAAAATCTTAAAAAAAAAATTTTTTGGTTCCAAATTTAAAAAAAAAAAAATTTTTTACCTTTAAAAATTGGTTAAAAATTGATATAAATTTCCCCCAAAAAAATTTTTGGGAAAAATTTAAAAAAATTTAAATTTTTTTTCCGCCTTTTTCCCTTAAATTTTTTTAAAAATACAATACCGTTAAGGGACAAAATGTTTGTTTGTTAAAAAATTTTTTTAGTTCGGACCCCAAAAAAAATTGTTTTTGATTCCCCCCAAAAAGCCCAAATTTTTTTTTTTAAAACCTTGGTTAAAAAAATTTTAATATTAAAATTCGCTTAAAATTTTGAAATTTTAAGTGAAAAAAAAAAATTTAAAAATTTTAAACCGGTTTAATGAAATACTTTTTAAAATTTGACCTATTCTGGGCTAAATTTAAATCAAATTTGTTGTGGGAAATCCTTGTTAATTAAAAATTTTTTTTTTTTGGGTTTTAAAATTTTTTTTTTTGTTTTTTTTTTAGGTTTAAAGAAAAAGGACCTTAAACTAAAGAAAAAAAATAAATAAACTTTTTACTCTGGAAAACTTAAATTAAAAAAATTTTAAAAATCTTTTAAAAAATTTTACTAAAAAAATTCTTTTTTATTAAAAAAAAAGTTTGCTCATATGAATTTTGAATGGCCCCTTTTAGGGGCCGCTTAAGCTAAAAAATAGAAATACCGTTAAAGGTTTATATCTAGAGAACTAATTGATGGATGATCACTAAACTTTTTCTGTAGCATTGTTGGGTAGTCAATTATCAAGTTTGCTAAAAAAAAATTTAATTAGCCCCCATTTTAGGCACGGCGCAAAAGCTATAAATAGAAAATACCTTGAAATGTCTATTTCTATAGAACTAATTGATGGATGATCACCAAACTTTGTATTGTAGCATTCTTGGGTAGTATTTTAGCAAGTTTGGTTATATTAATTTGATTGGCCCCTTTTAGGGGTCTCTATAGCTAAAAATAGGAAAATCTTAAGATATCTTCTTCTACAGAACTAACTGATGGATGATCACCAAACTTTGTCTGTAGCATTCTTGGGTAGACTTTTATCAAGTTTGCTCATATGAATTTGAATGGCCCCTTTTAGGGGCCGCTTAAGCTAAAAATAGAAATACCGTTAAAGTTTATTTCTAGGAACTAATTGATGGATGATCACTAAACTTTTTCTGTAGCATTGTTGGGTAGTCATTTTATCAAGTTTTGCTAAACAAAATTTAATTAGCCCATTTTAGGGGCGCAAAAGCTATAAATAGAAAATACCTTGAAATGTCTATTTCTATAGAACTAATTGATGGATGATCACCAAACTTTGTCTGTAGCATTCTTGGGTAGTATTTTAGCAAGTTTGGTTATATTAATTTGATTGGCCCCTTTTAGGGGTCTCTATAGCTAAAAATAGAAAACCTTAAGATATCTTTCTTTCTACAGAACTAACTGATGGATGATCACCAAACTTTGTCTGTAGCATTCTTGGGTAGTCTTTTATCAAGTTTGCTCATATGATTTTGATTCTCCCCTTTTAGGGGCCGCTTAAGCTAAAAATAGAAATACCTTTAAATGTCTATTTCTACAGAGCTAATGGATGGATGATCACCAAACTTTGTCTGTAGCATTGTTGGGTAGTCTTTTATCAAGTTTGCTCATATTATTTTGATTGGCCTCTTTAAGGGGCATCTTAAGCTAAAAATAGAAAAAACCTTTAAACTGTTTTTCTACTACAGAACTAAGTGATGGATGATCACCAAACTTTGTCAGTAGCATTATTTGGTAGTCTTTTATCAAGTTTGCTCATATTAATTTGATTGGCCCCTTTTAGGGGCGGCTAAAATTAAAGATAGAAATATGTTTAAACATCTTCTCCTACAGAACTAAGTGATGGATGATCACTAAACTTTGTCTGTAGCATATTTGGGTTATCTTTTATCAAGTTTGCTCACATTAATTTTATTGGCCCCTTTAGGGGCTGCTTAAGCTAAAAATAGAAAAACCTTTAAACATTTTCTACTTCAGAACCAATTAATGGATGATCACCAAACTTTGTCTGTAGCATTCATTGGTACTCTTTTATCAAGTTTGCTTATATTAATTTGATTAGCCCCTTTTAGGGGCCACTAAAGCTAAAAATAGAAAAAAAACCTTCGAACATCATTTCCTACTGAAATAATTGATAGATGATCACCAAACTTTGTAGCATTCTTAGGTAGTCTTTTATCAAGTTAGCTCATATTAATTTGATTAGCCCCGTTAAAGTTAAAGCTTAAATGCCCCAGGTTATAGCATTCATTCAAATTATTGTTTAAACATATTCTATGCTCAAATTTAATATTAGAAAATATTGACATTCCAACACTGAAAAGCAGTTGTTTCTGGTGAGTGACTCAGGGCCATCATGGCCCTCTTGTTTATATTGTTGTCATTATATTTCCTCCACATGTTTGGTTGGATAACTTTATTTGAGTTATCCTTTTAGTAGTTTACAAATGCTCTTAGTAAAAATTTCCTCATGATTTACAAATCTATTGTTAAAGAAAAGTCACATTATATTTTACTTTATCACAGATTGTACAAATTTCTATGTTTTGTAGGCAGTGAATTGAGTGACTGTTCTGTTAATGTATTTTTGGCCTTGTCATCTATTTCTGATACTTAAATAGCCATGCACTAGCTAAACAGTTAGTATGGCTTTGGCAGATACCAAAAATCCAAGCATTATCTCAGCATATTGTAATTCATAAATTTGACTAAGGTGAACATAATATAATGTCAGAGTTAAAATCTTGTTGGACCCTTGAATTCTTTTTGTGATTGCTGTAGCTAAGAAATATTTTTTTTTATTAGCAGGTAAACCAATTACTGTTGAGAAGGTCGGAGAAACAGATAATAGGGGTAGTGATAGAATGGAGTCTATTTCTAGTTCAAAAGACGAGAATGCAAATCAGTCAACAGCTTTAGGACAGGATGTTTTGGATAAGGAAGGATCATCTGATAAGGAAAATGCCAATGAAAGGTTAGCAGAGGAACCCATGTCAATAGAGATTATTGAAATGGAAACTGATGCAAATCATCAGACCTCTAATGATGGAAATTTGAACAAAGAGCATTCAGATGTTGATGTAGAAGAAAATAAAACTAGCAGTCATCAAGGTGAAGAGAAGAAAAGGAATACAGAAACTATGGAAACAACAATTGATCTAACAGAAACTGGTGACTCTGGAAGTGATATTGACATCCTTGATGGCAGTGACACAGAGTATGAATCTTGCAGTGAAAAAGAGGACACAAACCTTCAATCTGGAAACCTGAACATTTTGCCTTCAAGTCCAAATACAGATTTATCAGCAGAGCTAAAAAATGTTAATCTAGATAATACGCAAAAAGGAAATGTTGTTATTATTGATGAGTCTAATTCCAATGATAACAAAAAAGATGGTCAATCTTCAGATACAGAAAATGATTCTCAGTTTGATAGTGATGACTCTGATGCTAATAGTGATCTGTCAAATCCAACACAGATCCCTAAACATGTAAAAGAAGATAAGGATCAAGCAAAGAAAAAACGTAACAAGAAACAAAAGGAAAACAAGAAAAAAATTAAAAAAGAGAAGGAAGATGAAAATGTTGGTGACTCTAATCCTTCAGATCCTTCTGCTGAAGGAGATAAAAAGAATGACAAATTACATCAAGTAGCACAAAAGATTGAAGCAGGTACTCAAGGATCCACACCATCAGAAAATAAAAAAGTATTTAGACAAGATTTAGGGTATGAATTCAATCAAAGGGGTGACTCAGTTGGAATAAAAACTTCTCCAGGGAGTAGCATTTTTGAATTGAATAAAGGTAAGGTTGGTACACAGGAGACAAAGAAAATAGCAGATTCTGAAAAACATGGGATATCACAAAAAATTGAAGCAGGTGCTCAAGAGTCAAAACCATCAGAAAAAGGAAAGGTATTTGGGCAAGGTTTAGGGTATAGACTGACACAAAGAGGTGACTCAGTTGAAATAAATACTCCATCTCAGAAAAGTAGCCTTTTTGAATTGGGTAAAGGTGAACCTGGTACACAGGAGACTAAGAATTCAGCAGATTCCGAAAAACCTGGGACTCAAGAGTCTGTAAAGACAACAGATGAAACTGAAAGCTCAAGTGGTTCCAAAGGAAATGACAAAAATGAAGATGATGACCAGGATGAAGATGTTGAAATGGAAGAGAACTCTGATAATGATGATGGTTCAAGTGTTGATCAAGGTTTGTCCAGGAGGCAAAAGAAAAATCAGAAAAAGAAGACTTCAAAAGAAATAGCAGAGCCGAAAGAGGCCAAAGAGAAAGAAAATAAGGTTAGGTTAAAGATACTTTGTTTCAGTATTTATCAAACTGATTCCTACCTTTGGATCATGGTTTATACTTTAGGCTTTTAAGTCAGTACTTATTATGAAATTTTCCATAAAAATGATGAATGGATTTGTAAAGATTGAAAGATAGACAAGCCCATTTAATATATTAAGTGTGGTATTAGGGATAAAGGAACTTTAATTATTTGTAAATATTATCAGACTCTGTTCATAGTTCAAGTTTATTGCAAGTGTGATAACAACTAATTGTTGCCCTCAAGTAGTATTTTGAGTGCTGCAAGGGTTTATAATTTAACCTCATAAAAATTACATTGTTTATTGCCAATAATTTGGTTGGAAAAACTAACTAAAGCATTGTAGGATTGTAATCTTGAATGACCAAAAGTTAATGCAATAGAAGGTGATGATTAAAAGATATATGTAATCTTTTAGTTAATTCTGTCATCACAGTTTTCTTTCTCAATGTAAAACGAATTTAATTTATGCAATTGTCCATAAGAAATTATATTACATATATTTTCAGAGCAAGAATAAAAACCAAACACCAAAGGCTTCTAATGCAACTGGGTATGTTGATAAATTTATGTTATACATGTATATTGTAATTTAATATCAGCAAATAAAATCCTTTTGTCATCTATATATTGTATATTTTAATCATTGTTACTTGTTTTGGTTAAAGAAATTTCCATATATTTTGGAAATTAAATTCAATTGTTAAATGTCTTTATTCTATGTTTGTAGACAAGAAAAAAATCAATGTTTTTAGTGTGGGTTATTTTGAGATGAAACGGGATAGATTATGAATATTTCTTTTACCACTGCTGTTGCCATACAAATGTAGCAGCACTGCTGTTGCCATACAAATGTAGCAGAAAGGATACATATATCTTTTTTTGTAGATTTGGCTGCTTCAAATTTGTAAGAATATGATAAGTTGTCTTTAATTTTGTAATAGTTTAAAAACATTGGTGAATAATAGATACATATCAAAAAGAGATAACTACAATATGTTGAAACATGATTGTTATGGTATAATGGCTTTTTTATTTCAAATACAGAGCTAATAGGAATAGAGGTGGAGCATCGAGGCAGATAACTTTACACTTTCATGCTCTATTAAGTGAAGATTTCAAGTTTGATCAGGAGAAGCATTTAGTGATCTTGAAAATGTCAGACAATTGGAGTGACATGTCTAATGTCTGTAGTGTGAAAAAGTGAGTAATAACTGTTTTATTAGGTTCATAATTATATATTTGCTGTTTATCACTTTATAAAGCTTTTTCTAACTTCTGCATTACAATTTGTGATGAGTTTGTAGCTTGAAGATCAAGTTCATGCTAGGACTTTTAAGGTTTATAGATTGATAAAAGTACATGGATGGTCATATCGAGTCATCAATTCTGTCATTGATGAAAAGATTTTCAAGTAACTAGGCATACTTTTATTGCACCTGAAAGCTTGTTACGTGCAAATGCCAGGTGGACAGTTTAAAAGGTGAAGGTATTTGAATGTCAAAATAATACATTAATGGTTGTGTCAGGTCAAATCTTTGCCATTCATTGATGCTTTTTGAAAAAATTGATTACTGAGAATATAGGAAAATATGATGTTAATGTTTCTATATACATAATATGTGTATTCTTGATAAAAAGTTACACTTTTTTATAGTAACCGTGCCTTTGATGCATGGTTTGATCCACTTGGCCTTTTTGGGGGCCATTTGGCTGTTTTCAGTGACAGTTCTTTGTTTTTCCAATGTCTTACATATTTGGAAGGAACATACCTTGGACAGGTCTTTAAGTTTGGGTGGAGTTTAGCTAGGTTCATGGTCAATGTCTTGCATTTATATATATTTGATTAACATTTATTGGTTAGATAAATATTTTTCAACTTGATCAAATAGCAATGACATGCCAACTTACATTTTTTGCAATAACAAAAGGTGATGACTATACAGTTACATAATTGTGTTAACAATACGAGTATCTTTTTAGCAATTTTTCTGTCCATATTTGAGTGAATAGGAAAACCTTTTTAGAAAGTTTGTAAACGACAAGAATCTTTGGCAGAAGCATTTTTGTTAACCAAACACATTCTTGTTTACATCTACTGTAAATTTCTAAGATTTTTCTACAATAAGTGAATAAAGTGAAATTAAGACTGCTGTCATTTGGGATGAAATTTTCACATTGTACAGAATACAATAATTCTTCAGTCATGACATATGCAAATGTTTATCACATATTGAATTGAGGGATATCAGTTATATGTTATGCTTTTCATTTCAGAAAGCTGCCTGGAGAGAATGTATACGAGATAGAACTGATAAAGAAAATTCCCATGTCACAGTTAACTGGAAGAAGATTGTACTATAAATATACTGTAATGAAAACTGAAAAAGATAATGACAAATTTATTTGGGAACATTATCTTAGGGAGAGCTATACCCAACAAACTTCTGGCCCAGGTGTAAATCGACTACTTGTTATACAAGACAAATGGAAAAATACAGGTATCAGAACTATACTTGAATATGCAGTCTTTGATATCATATTTCACTTACTTTTTTCCATATGAGTGCAAATCCATTCCAATTACTATAAATAAAAGGTGCTGCAACTTAGTGGTTAAGATGTCTACCTCTCATTTTGGGTTTGAGTCCTACTCTGATAATGACTGTATTTATAAATATGACAAAGTATTGCTTGCATTTTTGTGTTACAAATTTTAGATATTTGGCATGTACTTTGTAGCATTGCCTTGTGGACATTTACAAAATTATTAATTTAGATGCCTCTAGGGTCAAAATGTGCCCCACCCTGGGATATATACCTTTAGGAAATACCTTTCAAACTTATCAAACTACAGTGCCCAGAGCTTAAATATTTGGCATTTTGCAATATCTTGTTAACCTCCACAAAACTGATATTAGTTATTCCCCTTATGTCAATATTTGCCCCACCCTTTGGGATCATTTTAGTTAATATAGGATAATTAATTTAAATTTTATTGTGTGAAACTAAAATATCCAAACCTAAGATATTTAGCATGTTGCATTGCTTAGTCCACCTTTACAAAAACGACATTAAATTATGACCCTGTTGTAAGAAGGATGAGCATATAGTCGCCGCTTTGTACATCCGTCCGTCGGCACTAGAGAAAAGGGGATAAGGGGCCATCTAACTGTAAACGGAACAAAAGAGAACAATAGAATTCTTTCCATTGCAATAGAATAAGGGGCCATGGCCCTCTATTATACAAAAAAAAATAACAATAGAAATAACCCTTTATCCCTATTCGGTCGGACGTCCGTCTGTCCGTCCGCTATTCTTGCCTGGGACACAACTTTGAAACAACAAGAGATATCAACATGAAACTTTGTAGGTAGATAGATCTAATTGAGTAGATGTGCAGTGCACAAGAACTGTAACTCTGCAATGCCTAGTTTTGGAATTATTGCCCTTTGTTTATTTTTACACTTTGAACTTGGTCTGGGACATAACTCGAAAACTATAAGTGATATCAGCATGAAACTAAGTGATATCAGCATGAAACTTTGTAGGTAGATAGATCTCATTTGGTAGAAATGCAATGCACAAGAACTGTAACTCTGCCTTGCCTAATTTTGGAATTAATGCCCTTTGTTTATTTTTACACTTTAAACTTTGTCTGCGACATAACTCTAAAACTATAAGAGATACCAACATGAAACTTTGTAGGTTGATAGATTACATTGTGTAGAAGTGCAGTGTTAAAGAACCATAAATATGTCTTGCCTAATTTTGGAGTTATTGCCCTTTATTCATTTATACTTTTTGAACTTTGTCCAGGACATAACTCTAAAACTATAAGAGATATCAACATGAAACTTTGTAGGTAGACAGATCTCATTGAGTTGAAGTGCAATGCTAAAGAACCATAACTCTGTCTTGCCTTATTTTGGAGTTCTTGCCCTTTTTTCATTTGTACACTTTGAACATAACTCTAAAACTATAAGAGATATCAACATGAAACTTTGTAGGTAGATATATCTCATTGTGTAGTAGTGCAGTATTAAAGAACTATAACTCTGTCTTGCCTAATTTTGGAGTTATTACACTTTGTTCATATTTACACTTTGAAATTTGTCCAGGACATAACTCTAAAACTATAAGAGATATCAACATAAAACTTTGCAGGTAGATAGATCTCATTGAATAGAAGTGCTTGGCAAAAGAACCCTAACTCTGCTTTGTCTAATTTTGGAGTTATTGCCCTTTGTTATTTTTTTTTCACTTTGAACTTCGTCCAAGACATAGCTTAGAAACCATAAGAGGTTTGTAGGTAGATTGATCTGATTAGATAAAAGTGCAGTGCAAAAGAACCTCAACTCTGCCTTGCTTGATTTTGAATTTATTGCCCTTTGTTCATTTTTACACTTTGAACTTTGTCAGGGACATAACTCTTACACTTCAAGAGGTATACTTTTCTGTGTCCAAAACCTACTCGGGAAGCATAATTAGGTTTAACCGGTTCTTGTTAATCATGACCCTGAGTTAAAAATTGGCCCTGCTTTGGGGTCCAATGACTTATATTGATTGATGTATTTGCAAATACATCAAACCAGTTGTGCTCGGAGCTGATATATTTGGCATGTAACCCTCTATGAAAACTTTATACATCATGCAAATAGTATCAAAAAATGCTCCAAACATGGGAGTTATTTAGTTTTATAAGTGTAACTAAGAAATTTAGTGTAGTTCCATTAGTTGGTCTCTTGCCAAATTGAAAAATTATTTTTGATTATTGAAACAAATTATTTTGGTTTAAAATCATGTTTTGATGTTTCAGTTTCTTAAAAAACGTTAGCATATTCAATTATTTATATTATCTAAACAATAACAGATGAATGGCACCAATATGATGGAGTTATTGAAAAGGAGCCATCAACATGGCGAGAAAAATTTAGAGACTGGGTTTTTGACTGGAAAAAGCAACTCACCAAGCATGCAAAAAGAACCGTACAATATTTCAGTGATAGCATTATAGAAGCAGAAGACTCGAAGTACTCCCTGACATATGTCCTAGATCAACTTGAAATTCTACTTTCATGTGCGAGGAAGATATATTTTCTAGATGCCAAATGCTGGGAGGAGTACAAAGAAGGCCAATTTAAGGAAGAAGTATAATATTTTATTGAATTATTTATTTTGTTCTTGACTTTCCATCAAGTATCTTTGTAAGGAAGTTTTCTTTTCTAAAAGCTTGTTTTCTTGAGTAATAAAGAGAGAAGCTATACAACAGTTTTCTCAATTTTAATTCTTAAAATAAAAAATGGCTTTTTACTGGATTTGATCAGAAGAAGTCTTAGATAGCATCATGCAAAAGCTGCAACCTGTCAACAAAGATCATTTTTCCAAATCAAGAAAGTTTGACCATATGATTAAAGACTATCAAATAATGCTGTGATTTTTATTGGTAGATTGGTGGCTGTGTCCTGGATGTCATACTTGATAAGATAAAAGATGTTGACACTGAACAACAATGTTGGGATGAAATGCGTGAAAGACAAGTTACAATGTCTGTGGCTGCTGTTTATGCACTGAATAAGTTGTCACTGCCTTTGAAAAATTTGAAAAAATGGCACAAAGTATGTCAGCATCTGATTTTACAACCAGCCTCAACTGAAAAGAAGTGCATTGAAATAACAATTGTTGAAAAGTACTTCCCAGAGAAAAGGTATTTTAAATTCATGTTAATTTTTAGCCTGCTTGAGCACAATGTGCTTGTAATTGGCCTCTTCCCAGATTGTACAACATTTTTCATCAACAATTTCTTATTGATTGAAACTTCACACGACTGTTCCTTGGGTGGTCCTCTAACAAAGTTGTTCAAATTGTTCTGGTTGGTAGCATAAGTAAGTCACAGTGCAAAAATAGGGTGTTTCTACTAATATAAAATGTCAAAATTCTTATCAGAATCTACAAGGTTGGACAACAGTCAAGGTCAAGGTGGCCTTGAACACTTAAAGATTTTCCAGTTTAACCAGCACAATGCTGTAACAACATCATGTTCAATACGATGTCACTTTCAACGCATGTGCAAGTTTCACCCAAACACACACTTTGTCCTTCTTGAAATATTCCCCATGAAAGGAAAAACATGTACTTCGAAGACGAGTTTCCTGATTGTGTCCCATGTTTTTGCTGCACAATGACCGGGTATGTTGTCGTGATGAAATATCATATCGGCAATTTTCGTTCCCTGCTTCTTTCTCATCGCCCTCATAAAATCATGACTCAGAACCTGCAAAGATAAAGGAATGTAATCATTAGTAAATTGTTGTTGGGACGTCCATTGTGCTTGTCATCATAGATGCTTTGCTTGCCATCTCAAAATTAGGCATACCACTTATACATTGCCTTTTAATTCATTGCCTGATCAATATAATTATGCCTTTTGTAACATTGTTTCTGTCTGTGAAAGCCTGTTCAAAACGCAAAATTGTATTGAAGGTCATTATTCTTCAGCCATTTTAACGCATATGCATTAAACAATTTCGCGGCTTAACGGCTTAAATGACGTCACACAATGACATGACGTCAAATACGTAATGCCAACTTGTTGCTTATCGCGTAAAGTTTGTTGAAATCTGCATGATAAACATTAAAATTTGGCTTAATTATTAAACAGCGACTATTTGTAAAAATGAACAAAAGTTGGCTGGTAATCATAATATGTGGTTTCCATAGCTACCGTTGCTAACATATGATACATGACTGAAAAGCAATATTTGCTGTATATGTTCAAAATATGTTTGTCTGTAAAACTGTATAAGTTTAATCCAGCTTACTTAAAAAATAAGGAAATGGCAACACTTTCCGTGTAATTATTGAACACCCCTCATAGAAATGGGCTCCATCTTATTCCATTTGTCCGTCAGTCTGTCATTCTGCACTATCAAGTAGGGATAGTGGGGTATCTAACTTTAAACAGAACAAAGGAAAACAATAGAGTTCATTCCTTAACAATATACAGTACAAAAAAAAAACAATAAAAATGGTCCTTCACCTAAATTGGTAGCATGTCCGTCTGTCTGTCCATCCATAACACTTTTGTGTCCAATTGTTAAACTTTCCTCCATCAAGGGATTTTAAAAATAATTGGCACAACTGTTCTTAATAATGAGACAATGTGACATGCGCTGCACCCAGACGCCTACCTATATGTTCAAGGTCACAAATGTATTTCTGTTGACACAAACACAGAAGTTATTTCATTTTATTCCTTTAATGAATTTATTGTTGCATGTGCAGATCTTGCATTGATTAAGATTTTGAAAGTGCAGGTCCATACCTCAATCTGAAATAGCACAATTTTGTGCTTCATGTAAAACTTCCCTTGGGGGTTACAAATTTTTGTTTATTATAGATTTTGATTTTTGACTTTAACTAATGAACTCTAATGACAAAGCTATATTTTGAATTATTCAAATATGACCTTGACCTTTATTTGACCTTGACAGTCGGGTCAAATTATTGAAATTTGCTAAATTGTCATAATTTAATCTTTATTTTTTGGATTTGATTTATTCTTTGACAAAAGAACGTGCACATGTATTTGACATAGTGATTAATCAAATGTGTCCTTGACCTTGAAGTAACCTTGACTGTCAAGGTCGAATATGAAATTTTAATATTCTTCCTCTGATCTGTTTGTCTTTAGAAATAAAAAATTGAGTGTCCATAGTCCCCACTATAGGCAGTGGCTCTTGTTGATACAATTTCTATATCATTATATAATAAATGAATTTGTTGTAAGTTTCAACAAAATAAGAAGTATCAGATAGCATGGATTTATCAATTTGAAGTTCTTTTGTTTGTTTTTCAAGGAAACATTTGAAAGACTCATTTATCTCTTTGGCCATTGAGATAGCTAGAACATCAAAGGATCCATGTTGGCTTTACCTGATGCCTTGGATACATTTTCTTTCCGACTGGTGTACTCCTTTTGATAGTCCCCCTGATGATGTAAAACATGATAAAAAAGAACCACTTTGGTGGGGTTTGTCATCAGATCTGAACACATCAGTTGCATACTTTACTGGAAAGTCAGATAAATGGTTTGTGTAAGTAAAATAAGTTTTATTAGCCCATCTCTGCACAAAGTGTGAGTGATGTACAGTCGACTACTTCGCTAAAAGTAAAGTAGCAACAACTTGCTGACTTGTTTGTTGTGGGTAAATTTGCTGTGAAAAAGGCATACCTTCACTGGTTACCGGTATAATCAATATTTTACGGCAGCAGTAATTTAATGTGGGTCATTTTATTGAACAATATATTATGTACATGGAACATGTATTAAAACATGTAGTACTTGTCTATAAAGTGCTTACCATTTGTATTCTTTAAATATTTGTTCGTTATTGTTTGGTTAATTTCGCAAAAAAAAATCTGTTATTTGGTAATTATCAGGTATTTACAGCTATTTATCAACTGAGAGGGCGAAATACAAATTTTCCGTAACAAGTAAGAAATTATGTTGTGAGAACATTTTATCAAAATCTTTATTCTTACCCGTGCAATCACTCGATTGAATAATTATCAGATAGCAGTTCCATGTACTGATCCCAATATTTCAAGTTTGTTTTAACCGAGGAAATTTACATGTTTTTCGCGGTTAGGGACTTGAAAAAATGGTTCGCTATAGCTGAAAATTCGTTTTAAGCGAGTATGTATTAAGCGAAGTGATTTCATATAAAATAAAGAAGGAATCTGCCTGGGATGTGAGATTTAGTTCGCTATTAACCTTTGTCCTCATATAGACGTGTTTTGATGGCTGTTCGTCCCCCCCCCCCTTTTTGAGGCCTCAAACAGTGAAAAAATGTCCTATTTAGGCCCCAAACACTGTTTTTCGTTTGAGAAATGTTCTTAAAAAAGGTGACCACTTATTCGGCGCCGCCCCCATCAACATGTTACATCAGGGGGTTGCCAGAAGGGGGATGTACCCCCTTCTGTTTGGGGGGGGGGGTTGAAGGGGGGGCGTAATCCCCCTCATCGCCAAGAAAATTTGGGACATGTGACAGGCTAAAAATGGCGTCAGGTCGACCTTAGCATAACTAGTAACCGACGCTGAAAAGCCTTTTTCTCTATCTCAATTCATTGAGAAGTTGCAGCACTTTGAAATCAGTTTTGATGGAAAAAAACAATGCAAGACATCCCCCCCCCCGTTGCCATGGTAACATGAAATTTACGATTGAGCATGCTGTTACAGAGGCTATGGTCTAGTCAACATTTGTGCAAAGTTTCATCAGTATTGAAACATTTTTCATAGTTTCATAGCAGTTTGAACTTGTTACAGGAGGCTTTTCAATGAAAATGGCAATTTTTCGCTATATGCTCATGAGGTAAAAGGTTAACGATAATTCGTTATAAGTTAATTCGTTATAAGTGGAGTCGCGTTATAAGTGGAGTCGACTGTATATAATAATCAAACATGTCTTATGTCAGGCATCTCTTGATATATAATATATCTTTGAATTAGTTAAATATTTATGATAGATGAAATATAGGACAGCATGATAGTGAACTATATAGAGTAAACCAAATAGGTGACTAGACCAATTCATCGCAAAATTCTTATTTCAATCACCAGCTTTGTCAGAATTGTGGTCTTCAGCATTTTTTAGTGTATTTAGACATAGGGTGCCCGTTTGTGCATTATTTCAGACAGGAACGTGCACCTGAGTAGATACACTGATATTCTCTAAGCTAGTTGAATAGCTTCCTCACATGAAAGATTCAAATTCCCTGGCTGATTTCGAACCCACAGCCATGAGGGGCAGGTGATTTGAAGTCAACAACCTTTACCACTAAGCCACAATGTCATGGTCTTCAGTATGTTTTGGAAAATGATAAATTTATAAACCTAGCTAAGTCATTTTGGTGATATCAGAAAAGTCTTGGAGTCATTCTTATGTTAGTTTCATGTATAATTATTCTTCTTTATGTATTTTTTCTCGAAATGTTAATGTTCATGTTTAATAAAAAGATAATGTGTGTGAATTAAATATTTCAGTTCCTTAGAAAAAGTTCTAAATTTGCTACAGCCAATGTTTGAAGTAGATTATCTCCTACCTAGAACATTCATGTCTGCTTTAGAACTTAAGCATTTGAAGACAGTTATTCTAACAGGAAAAATTCCAGCAGAAGTAGTTCTTGCAAACCTGATATACTTTGTCCGGAAAACAAAGCCAAGATATTCAAGTGATTATGCAACATCAGATGAAGTGGTAAATTGCTTTATTAGCTCACCAGAGCTGAAGGCTCGGGATGAGCTATTAGTATCAAAGGGGGATGCTCCGGAGTCCATCGTCAGTCGTCATGCGTCAACAATCGTCTTCTTCTCTGAAACTACTAAGCAGATTTACTTCAAATTTGGTCTGTAGCATCCTTGTGACAGTCACACTTGAATTTGCTCATGTCATTCCAATTGGCCCCTTTTAGGGGTCAGCAGAGCTAAAAATAGAAAAACCTTTAAATATCTTCTACTGCTGAACTAATTGATGGATGGATGATCACCAAACTTTGTCTGTAGCATTCTTGGGTAGTCCTTTATCAAGTTTGCTCATATTAATTTGATTGGCCCCTTTTAGGGGTCTCTAGGGCGTAAATAGAAAAACCTTTAAACATCTCCTTCTACAGAACTAATGGATGGATGATCACCAAACTTTGCTCATATGAATTTGATTGGCCCCCTGTTAGGGGCTGCTTAAGCTAAAAATAGAAAAACCTTTAAACATCTATTTCTACAGAACTAATGGATGGATGATCACCAAACTTCGTCTGTAGCATTCTTAGGTAGTCTTTTATCAAGTTTGCTAATATTATTTTGATTGGCCCCTTTTAGGCTTCTCTAGGACTTAAAATAGAAAAACCTATAAACATCTTCTCCTACAGAACTAATTGATGGATGATCACCAAACTTTGTCTGTAGCATTCTCAGATAGTTTTTTATCAAGTTTGCTCATATTAATTTGATTGGCCCCTTTTAGGGGCCGCAAAAGCTAAAAAATAGAAAATCTTTTAATGTCTATTTCTAAAGAACTAATTGATGGATGATCACCAAACTTTGTCGTAGTCTTTTATTAAGTTTGCTCATATTAATTTGATTGGCCCCTTGTAGGGGTCTCTAGGGCTAAAAATAGAAATACCATTAAATGTCTATTTCTAGAGAACTAATTGATGGATGATCACTAAACTTTGTCTGTAGCATTCTTGGGTAGTTTTTTTATCAAGTTTGCTCATATGAATTTGAGGGGCCGCTTAAGCTAGAAATAGAAATACCTTTAAATGTCTATTCCTACAGAACTAATGGATGGATGATCACCAAACTTTGTCTGAAGCATTGTTGGATAGTCTTTTATCAAGTTTGGTCATATGATTTTGATTGGCCCCTTTTAGGGGCCATTGAAATTAAAAATAGATATACATTTAGACGTCTATTGCTACTGAAATAATTGATGGATGATCACCAAACTTTGTCTGTAGCATTATTGGGTAGTCTTTTATTAAGTTTGCTCATATTAATTTGAATAGCCCCTTTTAGGGGCCGCTAAAATTAAAAATAGAAATATGTTTAAACCTCTTCTCCTACAGAACTAATTATTATCACCAAACTTAGTCTGTAGCATTCTTGGGTACTTTTTTATCAAGTTTGCTTATATTTATTTGATTAGCCCCTTTAAGGGGCCACTAAAGCTAAAAATAGAAAAAACCTTCAAACATCATTTCGTACTTAAATAATTGATAGATGATCACCAAATTTTGTAGCATTCTTAGGTAGTCTTTTATCAAGTTTGCTCATATTAATTTGATTAGCCCCATTTAAGCTGAAAGCTTAAATACCCCAGGTCATGGCATTTCTTTAAATTATTGTTTAAACATATTCTATGCTCAAATTTAATATTGGAATATATTGCCATACCAACACTGAAAAGCAGTTGTTTCTGGTGAGCAACTCGGGGCCATCATGGCCCTCTTGTTTATTTACAATATTCTCTTGAATAAAGCAGCATTATTTAAACTATTTTTATTTAGAAATTTAAGTTAAAATTAACACTTACTTTATACACTAAAATTTTGAACTGAAGACACCACTTAAATTAAACAGAAATGCAATTTTGATATTTAATGAAACATGTCTTGGATAATAAAGTTCAGAATATATTGTCAGTTCTTAAATGTTAAATTTTGAGAAAACAGTCATGTTGATAATTAGCTCACCTGTCACAAAGTGACAGGGTGAGCTTTTGTGATCGCTTTTCGTCCGTCGTCCGTCCGTTGTCCGTCCGTAAACTGTTACTTTAAATGACATCTCCTCATAAACCACTAAGCCAATTTCATCCAAACTTCACAGGAATGTTCCTTTGGTGGTCACCTTTTAAAAATTGTTCAAAGAATATAATTCCATGCAGAACTCTGGTTGCCATGGCAACCTAAAGAAAAAACTTTAAATATCTTCTTTTAAAAAACCCAAAGAGCTAGAGCTTAGATATTTGGCATGAAACATCTTCTAATGAGTGTCTACCAAGTTTGTTCAGATAAAAACCCTGATCAAAATTGGCCCCGCCCCAGGGGGTCATTGATTTTTCCTATATGCATATTGTAAAAACTTAAATAATCTTCTTTTAAAGAACTCAAAGAGCTAGAGCTAAGATATTTAGCATGAAACATGTTCTTATGGGTGTCTACCTAGTTTGTTCAAATAATAGCCCTGGGGTCAAAATTGGCCCAGCCCCGGGGGTCATTGATTTTCCTTATATGTGTATAGCAAAAATTTAAAAATCTTCTTTGAAAAAACCCAAACAGCTAGAGTTTAGATATAAAAAATGAAACTTCTTCTAGTGAGTGTCTATAAAGTTTGTCAAATAAATGCCCTGGGGTTAAAATTGGCCCCGCCCCAGGGGATATTGATTTTCCTTGTATGTGTATAGCAAAAACTTAAAAATCTTCTTTGAAAAAGCCCAAATAGCTAGAGTTTAGATATTAAGATGGAAACATCTTCTAGTAAGTATCTACAAAGTTTGTTCAAATAAAGCCCTGGGGTCAAAACTGGCCCTGCCCCAGGGGTGTTATTGTTATTAACTATATGTGTATAGTAAAAACTTAAAAAATCTTCTTTTAATAAACCCAACAAACTAGAGCTTAGAGCATGAAACATCTTCTGATAGGTGTCTACCAAGTTTGTTCAAATAAAAGCCCTGGGGTTTAAACTGGCCCCGCTCTGGAGGCCTATATACAGGTTGGCGACTTCAGGGCCATCATGGCCCTCTTGTTAAATTCTGTGTTTCATTTTACTAGTATTTCTTTAATAAATTTATTGTTGCATTTGCAGATCTAGCATTGATCATAATTTTGGACTGAAAGTCCCGAGACCCATGCCTTAATCTTTTGAAATAGCACAATTTTATGCTTTGTTTAAAACTTCCTCGAGGTGTGGGACGTTGGTAACTGTTACAAATTCTTGTTTGAATAAAAACCATTAATATTTTAAGCCAGTACTCATTATGATTATTAGATATTATGAAACCAGAAAATTGCTAATATACCATAACATTACACAAAAGAACTTATCATAATGTGTCCTAAAATCAAAAAAAAAAGCTTGTGGCAGCTGGAAAAAATGTAGTGATTTCTTAGTACTCTGTAGGCAGCAAGTGATTTCAATTTTTTGATGGGCCTGAAACTGGTTAGATATACAAACTTTGGCTGAAATAATTCTACTGAATTGAATACTTAGTTTAGTATGTTTGTTATGTACATTTTGTCTTGAACAAAAAGTTGAACTATTGTAAAGTTTCATTTGTAATATTTCAGTCTGTTGCAGAATGTATCTCTGCCTTCTTGGACATGTCTACAAAAGATGAAGGAAGGTAATATTTATGGTTTTGTCAAAATTATCCACCTGACAATTCTAACATGGCAGTTGTGTTTCTTTATTTTTGGACAAGTAAAAAAGATAACATTCATTCAAATTGAAGCTTTAAAGAAGTTTACTATACTGTTCAATAGCATGCTTAGAATAAAATCAACATATAACACATAATTTCACGAGTAAAATGTTTTGAGTAACACAATTAAGTTTAAATTTCAAAATTGTTTACAGCTTTTTTACCACATTTAAAATGATCATTTAATATCTTTCGTTTCAGAAATGAAACTTGCAGTGAGGCTCAAAGTAACATGAGATACTACATTTCTCAACAACTTTTTATAGAGAGTATCAGTACAGACAAGTTTCATATTGTGCAGTATTCCATGAGTCTGATGTTACATTTCCTATCATGTTTTGATATCACAGAGAACCCTAAAACAAACAGTAAAAGAGCTTCTGTTGAGAAGTGTCTGAAAAGGTATGTTCCAGAGATGATAAAATGGATGGACAAACATGTCTGGAACTGGAACCTCTACATGGATAAAGTATTAAATGTAACTACATTATTTTATATTTTTGTTTTAAAAAATGATTTGTTTAAAAAATACTTCATTTTAAGAGTGCTCATTTATGCCAGACAAGTGTATAAAGTTTAGGACTATAAATTTTGGAACTTCTTTACAAGCGTTTCAACATGTCTCCTGATTTTGTGTGGCCTCTACAGAGTAGTGGCTACATATAGGGATCACTTCTCCGTCATCTGTCTGTCCGAGCAAACATTTTGGGTTTAGGGGCTATGTAACAGTAAAGAGAACAAAAGAGAACAATAGGTCAAAGGGTTTATGGGCTAGTAGCCCTTAAGAAAACAAAGAAAATAACAAAGAAAATAGCCCCTAAACACAAAATGTTGGAACGTCCGTCTGTCCGTCCCTCACAAAACTTGTCCGGACTACTCCTCATAAACTACTGGTGCAATTTCATCCAAACTTTACAGGAATGATCAGTTCCAAGTCTAGTTGTGCATATTATCAGCATTTTCCAGTTCAATGATTTTTAGCTCACCTGTCACAAAGTGACAGAGTGAGCTTTTGTGATCGCTTTTCGTCCGGCGTCCGTCCGTCCGTAAACTTTTACTTTAAATGACATCTCCTCATAAACCACTAAGCCAATTTCATCCAAACTTCACAGGAATGTTCCTTTGGTGGTCACCTTTTAAAAATTGTTCAAAGAATTTAATTCCATGCAGAACTCTGGTTGCCATGGCAACCGAAAGAAAAAAACTTTAAATGTCTTCTTTTAAAAAACCCTAAGAGCTAGAGCTTAGATATTTGGCATGAAACATCTTGTAGTGAGTGTCTACCAAGTTTGTTCAAATAAAAGCCCTGGGGTCAAAATTGGCCCCGCCCCAGGGGGTCATTGATAATCCCTATATGAATATAGTAAAAACTTAAAAAATATTCTATTAAAGAACTCAAAGAGCTAGAGCTAAGATATTTAGCATGAAACATGTTCTAATGGGTGTCTACCAAATTTGTTCAAATAAAAGCCCTTGGGTCAAAATTGGCCCCGCCCCGGGGGTAATTGATTTTCCTTATATGTGTATAGCAAAAACTGAAAAAAAATTCTTTGAAAAAACCCAAATAGCTAGAGTTTAGATATTAAGCATGAAACATCTTCTAGTGAGTGTCTACAAAGTTTGTTCAAATAAAAGCCCTGGGGTCAAAATTGGCCCTGCCCCGGGGTCATTCATTTTCCTTATATGTGTATAGCAAAAACTGAAAAAATCTTCTTTGAAAAAACCCAAATAGCTAGAGTTTAGATATTAAGCATGAAATACCTTCTAGTGAGTGTCTACAAAGTTTGTTCAAATAAAACCCCTGGGGTCAAAACTTGCCCCGCCCCAAGGGTGTCATTGTTTTTAACTATATGTGTATAGTAAAAACTTAAAAAATCTTCTTTTAAAAAAACCAAATGAGCTAGAGCTTAGATGTGTAGCATGAAACATCTTCTTATGGGTGTCTACCAAGTTTGTTCCAATAAAAGCCCTTGGGTTAAAATTGGCCCTGCCGGAGGGGCGGGGAAGATCATTGTTTTTCATTATATGTGTGTAGTAAAAACTTAACATGAAACAGCTTCTAATGGGTGTCTTCCAAGTTTGTTAAAATAAAAGCCCTGTGGTTTAAACTGGCCCCGCTCCGGGGGCCTATATACAGGTGAGCGTCCTCAGGGCCCTTGTTGTAAGAGTTATGGCCCTTTAATAATTTTTATTTTTAAAGTTTGTCCGGACTACTTCTCTTATACCGCTAATGCAATTTCAATGAAACTTTACAGGATTGATCTGTAGCTCAAGTCCTTGCGCATATTGCACGGTTTTTTTGGTTGAATGATTTTTGGCAGAGTTATGGCCCTTTGATAAAAAGGTGTTTTTTTCTGTGTGTTGCCAGATACACAAAAGCTTGTCAGGACTACTCATAAACTACTGGTGCAATTTTATCCAAACTTTACAGGAATGATCAGTACCAAGTCTAGTTGTGCACTGTCTGTCTGTCTGTCCCTCTGTCACAAAACTTGTCCCCACTACTCCTCATAAACTACTGGGGCAATTTCATCCTAACTTTACAGGAATTTATGTTGCCACTACTCCGATCACTTCTCCGTCTGTCACAAAACTTGTCCCAACATGAAATTGGCCATCATGAGGGGACACATGTGATCACTGATCGCTCTTGTTTTTATGCCCCCGCCATGTAATGGCCGGGGCATATAGTGTTACCCTGTTCCGTCATTCCGTCCTTCCGTCCTTCCGTCCTTCCATCCTTCCGTCCTTCCGTCCTTCCGTCCTTCCGTCATTCTGTCATTCCGTCATCATCAGTTTCCGTTCATTATCTTAAGAACGGTTGCACACATTCAACTCAAATTTGACATATGAATATGTCATGACAAAATACAGGTCAAGTTCGAATTTGGTCATGGTTCGATGATTTTTGACAGAGTTATGCCCCTTTTACTTTGAAAATAATATGAAATTTCGGTTTCCGTTCATTATCTCCCCAACGGTACAACACATTCAACTCAAACTTGACATATGGATATGCAGTGACAAAATACAGGTCAAGTTCGAATTTGGTCATGGTTCGATGATTTTTGGCAGAGTTATGCCCCTTTTACTTTGAAAATAATATGAAATTTTCAGTTTCCGTTCATTATCTCCCCAACGGTACAACACATTCAACTCAAACTTGACATATGGGTATGTCATTAAAAAATACAGGCCAAGTTCGAATTTGGTCATGGTTCGATGATTTTTGGCAGAGTTATGCCCCTTTTACTTTGAAAATAATGTGAATTTTCAGTTTCCGTTCATTATCTCCCCAACGGTACAACACATTCAATTCAAACTTGACATATGAATATGTCATGACAAAATACAGGTCAAGTTCGAATTTGGTCATGGTTCGATGATTTTTGCAGAGTTATGCCCCTTTTACTTTGAAAATAATGTGAAATTTTCAGTTTCCGTTCATTATCTCCCCAACGGTACAACACATTCAACTCAAACTTGACATATGGATGCGTCAAAAGAATGCGCAGGTCCATGTTCAAATTTGGTCATGGTTCAATGATTTTTGGCAGAGTTATGCCCCTTTCACTTTGAAAGTAATATGAAATTTTCAGTTTCCGTTTATTATCTCCCCAACAGTACAACACATTCAACTCAAATTTGACAAATGGATATGTTTTTGGAATGCCCAGGCCAAGTTGGAATTTGGTCATGGTTCAATGATTTTTGGCAGAGTTATGCCCCTTTCACTTTGAAAATAATATGAAATTTACAGTTTCTGTTCATTATCTACCCAACAGTGTTACATATTCAACTTTAATTTGACATATGGATATGTCAAAGGAATGGGCAGGTCAAGTTGAAATTTGGTCATGGTTTGATGATTTTTTTTTGCAGAGTTATGTCCCTTTCACTTTGAAAATAATATAGATACATCTTAGGAATAAGCAGTTTAAGTATGAATTTGGTTGTGGTTCAATGATTTTAGACAAACTTATCTTTCCTGAATGTTGGAAAAATTTTGTACTTTCAGTTTCAGCACTCATACTTTTAGCCATTATTTTGGCTACAAATATGAAATATGTTATTTTTAAAAGGTTAAGACTGAATAATTTCAGTGTCTTGAACATTGTATGAAAATGGTTTGTGTTAACATTTTAAAGTTTTAAGGGCTTTGAACTTAAAATGAAAAAAATAATTAATGCACCATCTGAAATTTTGGCTGCATGCGGGGGCATCCGTGGCATGATGACACATTTCTAGTTTATATTTTCATTCATAATGAATTATTTCATTTGTGTAGATGTACAAATGTAATTAGAAATTGTCTAAATCTCCCTATTCAAATAATATACTTAGTTTTTTACTTTTACCAATAAAAAGAAATACGACATGTATGTATAATGTATTTAGTTCAAGTATGTAAAGTTATAGCTGTACATTCATGCACAACAACCTTTAATTAAAAAATATAACAACTACTCTTAATTTTATATGATATGAAGAAAAATCAACAATATCCAATCAAATTCTGATTTAGTTTTACATTGTTGAATACATTTTTATTTTAATGCCCCCACAATGTGGGAGCATATAGCGTTGCACTTGTCCGTCCGTCTGTACATCCCGAAATCTTGTGAACGCAACTCCTCTTAAACCGGATGGCAGATTTTGCTTAAACTTTAGGGATGAACAACCTTAATGTGTAGATTGTAGTCAAGGAAGGAATTTTTGCTGCAACCAAATTTAACAGAATTATGGCTCTTTGTTGATTTTTTCACTATATACTATGTAGAAATTTTGTGAACGCAACTCTTCTTAAACCGGATGGCAAATTTTGCTTAAACTTCCAGGGATGAACAACCTTAATGTGTAGATGGCAGTAAAAGAAGGAATTTTTGCTGCGACCAAATTTAACAGAATTATGGCCCTTTGTTGATTTTTTCACTATATACTATGTAGAAATTTTGTGAACGCAACTCCTCTTAAACTGGATGGCAGATTTTGCCTAAACTTCCAGGGATGAACAACCTTTATGTGTAGATGGTAGTAAAGGAAGGAATTTTTGTTGCGACCAAATTTAACAGAATTATGGCTCTTTGTTGATTTTTTCACTATATACTACATGTAGAAATTTTGTGAACGCAAGTCCTCTTAAACCAGATGGCAGATTTTGCTTAAACTTCCAGGGATGAACAACCTTAATGTGTAGATGGTAGTAAAGGAAGGAATTTTTGCTGCGACCAAATTTAACAGAATTATGGCCCTTTGTTGATTTTTAGTTTTCAACTTGTGGCACATGTAGTCAAAAAAATATTTGAACTAGAGTCATAAGATTGACAGAACAGTGGTGTGTGGGGGTATCCGTGTCTTTTGGACACATTTCTAGTTCATTATGTATTGAATGCTTTTAAGTGTCTAAACAATAAAGAAAGACCCATGCAATATGTTATTTTAAACAATTTAACTTTGTTAATTGATAGTTCTGGAACAGCCTTTATACACCTGAACAAATTCAGTCAGATTTTGTCAAAGATACATGGAATGAAGGAATAAGTAAGGGACTAACTGAAAGGCTGCATACAAAGGTAATTTTCATTCACAATTCTGTTACTATTTTTAAAAAAGTAAAAAAAAAACAAGTTGTTGAATTTATTCACCTTATTTTGTCTGAAAACACTATAATGGAAATGAAAAACTGAAAGAACTTGCTTTTTTAAGCTCATCTTCTCTGAAAACATGATGTCTGTCATGCATTTGATTAGCTCCTCTATTTTAATTAGCGTCTGTGTCACACTTTTGTTTAAGTTTTTTGTACAGCCCAATTATTTCCTGTACCCATTTGTCATCTCTGTTTCAGGCAAGAGGACATAAATATGTAATTGATTTTGACAAAATTGTACCATGTTTTTGGCTTAGAATTTCGATTATGTTTTTTGTACCACCCAACTTATTTCCTTTGAGGTATTGCTTTGAACTTGATATACTTGTTAATGACCATCATCCCCACTTCCAAGCAAGTACTCATAATTATCGAGCTCTCTGTCTTATGGACAACTCTTGGTTTTTCCTAAGTATAGTCATGGTTAAGGTTGCTGACTTAAATTTACTTGCCCCTCATCCACATTGGTTCTAATCCTGCCAAGTGGTTTGGATTCTTTGATATGAGGTAGCTATTCAGCTAGCTTATGGAAAGTCAGTGGTTTTACTTGAGTACTAGCTTGTGTCTTAAATAATGCATGGAGGGACATCTTAGGTTTTCCTCCACTACTAAAGCTTGTTAGTCACCATATGACTTTTACAAAGTGTCAATGTTACTTAAACCAAACCTATAAAAGAAAAATTGTTGCTTTTTGGGTTGCAGGGTCAAATGTCAGTCTTTTTGACCTTTTTTGTCAAAAGTGGTTTTTGACCAATAACTTGACAACAATTTGTCCTTGGAGCTCTAACTTCACGGGTGCATTGGTTTTGGGCAGTAGAGGACCCCCTTTAAAATTAAGCTCGAGGGTTTTAAGGTCAAGGTTTTAATATGTCTCAGAAGAATGATTGACATTTCCTAGCAATCGGTATGTGATGAGCAATCTTGGCCATTTTAACCGTCTTATAGTTTTGTTACTACTGTGTATTTCTTACAGTCAATAGATATTTTGTTAAGTTAAAGCTTTAAATTGTCTTAAGCTTTCAGAAAGTTTTACATATGATGTATTTTAAACAAGTACATTTGCATGATATAATTTTTGAACATTTATAAAATAGAAGTTTATACTGTAGTGTACAAATTTACATTTTGTAAGTCTTAGCTTATCATTTGCTGTATGTCTTACTTTAAAGATCTGTGGTGACAACTGGCTGATGTCATCATTTGTTCAGCTGTATTGTAAAACAATAGATTCTTACCATCCTTTAATGCAAGACAGCATGAGTAAAACTGCTTTCAAGGTATGACAAAATGTTATGTAACAGAAGTTTTATTCAATCTTTTTTTTATAAGTGAATTTTTAAAATACAGTATGTCAATATTTGCTTTACCTATAGCTGAATTTTGTGCATTTTAGAAATTAATAAGAAATTGTGTAGAAATAGTTTCGTATCAAGTGATATTATAGTTATATGTAATTTAAAATAGAAAACTGCAATTTTGTATTTGAAAATTCATAGACATGAATCTAATTTTAAAACTGTCTATTGTAATTGTATGTTCATAAAATGTAAAAATCAAAATGCTTAAATTAAGTATACAACTGCATAGAGTCTCATCATACAGCATGGTTGTACAGGATACCCAGGCTCTATAGGGATAAACAAACAAGTTATTTTTGCTGTTTTTGTACACAGAGTTATGATAAAATTTATTATGTCATTTTAAACTAGGCAATTGAAAAAGGATATGCTGTGGACTATGGGAGGTTTAACAAGTATGAGACTGAAAGATTTGGGAATCTGTTGTCAGATTTGTTTCTGAAAGAATGGAAAAAAATGATCAAAACAAAAGATGCAGAGAGGGATATTCTTCATCACTTTCTAAAGTGGCCTCCTTTTATGCAGTTTGTGAAAATATATGGTATATAACTGTACATTCTTAACCTTTTTAAAATATATTTTATCTAATCAGTTTACACATTTTTAATTCACCTAAGGTGAGCTTTTGTGGTCTAAATTTGTCTGGCGTCCGTCAGTGCATTGGTGCGTGCATTGGTTTTTAAATGACTTCTCTTCTGAAACAACTTGGCCAAATTTGATGAAATTTTCCTGGAATATTCCTAGCATAAAACTTTCTAAAATTGTTCAAATGGTCTTGCTCCATTGAATATCTGGGTCAGAAGAGGCAAAAAAAGATTTTAAAAATGAAAATGCAAGGTCTGGTGCTTTGATATTTTGTGTGTAACATAATCTATTGAAAGTTGAAACTCTACAAAAAGTTTTCAAATTTTAGCACTGGGATCAAAATTGGCTTTTTCTATGACATTTAGCATGAAACATTGTCTAGTCAAATTTGCCTGCCCCATGGGTCATGTGTTTTCCTGAAATGCAAAAACTTAAAAAAAAATTTCTTCTCTAAACTTGTAAAGCTAAATCCAAGATATTTGCAATGGAGCATTATCTAGTTGACCACTACCAAAATGGTTTAAATTATGGCCCTCAGGGGTCGAATTTAGCACCACCCCAAGGTGATCTAGCATTTTCTTTATATGTATAATTATTGTAAAAACTTTTATTTCTACATAATGTTTCCTTGAGATGAGATGCAGAACTTACTGCCAGTGTCAATCTTGATGTCAGTCCGATATTAATTTCTTGACTGTCCTGTAATCTTTTTAATTGTGCTTGATGCATTTTTTAGGCTAAGGTATAATATTTATCTTATAGCAGTGATGTGCAAATCTTTAACTTCAGACATCCTACTTAAAAGTCAAGGTTACAGAAATACATGAAGTATTTGAACCAGCAATTTGTGACAAGCTTTTTGAAATGTTTAAGGACTATTCATGAAATTTATGTTAAATGTTTATTTCCTTGAGATAACATGCAGAAGCTACATTTCAGGCACATTAGTCTCACAGTTTAGTATAATACTGGTATATGTTTAGAAAAAAAACATCATGTACTGGCAATTACTATTGGAAGTCTTCTTGAATTGATATATCAGTTTGGTTTCTTCAAATCATTTTTGTTCAGTCATATATTACATCATTCATTTAAAGGCACATTATGCCTCAAAAATCCATATTTCTTTTAATTGTTTAAAAATGTCAAACATGTGTTTGATAATCTTATAATAATGGGTTAAGAACATGTTAGATATTATATAACTGAAGAAAGTAGCGCTGAACAGTAACGTATTATAAAGGAAGCAAAATGTAAACAAAAGTAGTGTTTTGACTTCCATACTAAATGATAATTCACTATTTTTATAACAACTGCCAACAGTGCAAAGAAAGCACATAAAATTGTTCCTTCATACAAATGAGTATGATTTTTGACAGAAATGAAAAGTTTTTAAGAAATAACAATGATAGCATTTTTGAGGCATAATGGGCCTTTAACATGTCTTCTGTTCTAAAATACAGCCAAAGATCGTGAAAAGATGAAATTGTCAGAGGAATGTGTTGAAAGGTTAGTGCAGGCTGTATCAGTTGTCCATAGTTGTATCAGATGGCTGCTGACTGGAGAAATCACCATTGGCAACCTTCTTCTAATCCAGACAAAAGACATTAATTTCCCAGAGCTTGCAGAGTTGGTAAAAGTGGAAGAGGCACATACTAAGGACTTTATAGCTAAAGTAATTCAGATAAGACAAAAGGAGATGGAGGCCTTTCACAAACAGGCAGAATTAATGATAACACTAACTTCTATGTGCCAACACCTTGGAAATGGTAAATTTCAGATAATCATTTCAATTTTGATATTTTCCCAGTTGTGAGAATTTCAAATTACTGTGACTCATAATTATTTGAAACATAATTTATGACAGTCTACAAATATATGTATTCAAAAAACCTTTGTGTCTTTGCTTTATGTTATGTCAGCTCTCTTCATCATGTTAAATTTGTTATAGTAACATGAAGTTTTGCTATAATTAAACTTAATGATTTTTTTATTTATTTAAAACAGCTGATACAAGGGCAGTGGACAATACTTTACAAAAACAAAAGCACATTGAAGTTCATAAAGTGAATGAATTCTGTGTACCTGCTGACATGAGTAAAGAGACAAACATGGAGACATTTCAACCAAAGTTGTGTGCCTTTAAAGTATCACAGACTGTGCTAGAGATTTTACCCAGTCTACAGGTGTGCAGCGAGAGCAGTACCTTTATGAAGTTCTGGACAGCTGAGTGTCAAAGTGACAAAAGTCATTCTCCAAACTTAGATGATGTTGTACCACAAATTTGGACAGCTGCCAAAAAAAGGTTTAAAATTTATTTTGAAAGTCTAAAAAACAGTATTTTTAAGACTTATGAATATAGAAGAAATATGGAATGTCAATATAAAAAGGTTGTTGTTTTTATAGCAAATTATCTCTGTTTTGTGTGTGTTCTGTGTGTGTGCACACATGCGTCTGTTATTAAGATTATATAGTTTACTTAAAAAGTCCTCTTCTTAAAAACCACAAGTCTGATTTCAACCAATCTTGCCAGAAATGTTTCTTGGGCAAAGGACATTCAAAAAAAAAGATTTTGTTTCATGCTGAAATAAAGCCTAGAGTGTAGATTTTTTTCACAAGGCATTGTCTTGATGAAAAGATTGATCTCAATTAGCTGACTTATAAGCGGTTACTTGTTGCGTTGAGCAAAAGTCGCTTAACACATTAAAGATATAGAGAGAAAATGATCGCATAATACAAAAGTCACCAGGTAATACATGTGGTTGCATGGGCCAGTTAGACTGTGGTTAAAAAATTCACCATCCTCTTCAAAACTACAAGGACTAGAGCTTGGATATTTGGCATGTCAAAACATTTTCTAAAGGACCTCTACCAAGATCATGAGTGGGTGGAGGGTATAGTCATGGGTTTCCCTTATTTGTTTAGAGTGAAAACCTATGATTCAGCAAATAAATACATCTGCACATTGTCTTTCATATGACTTACTGAATTATGACCTTGACCTCCAAATTCTCTGGACACTACTGTATTATTGCACATTCAATTCCATAGAAACAAAGAATGAACTACATTTACTTCTGTTCCTACTATTGTGTGTTGTATAAAGTGGTGGCATAGCAATTTTTCACAAATGTTATCTTCTTTCTAGATGGGATACGAAGGCAAAAAACATAAAGACAGGAGAGATAAAATTCCAAGAATTTGAGAAAATTCTTGGAAACATCTATAGAGAAGACTATGATAGAATGGCCATAGAGATGAAAACTCTCAAACTTTCTGACAAAGAAGTGAAGAAACGTATTGATCAGTTGCAGAAATATAGGCAGCTCGAAGCATGCACAAAGGGAGCTAAAACAATACTGAAGTTTGCAAAAGATTATAACTTAAAGGGTGATTTTGAACAGATCAGAATTATTGCTACTGTAAGTGTTATTAACACAGTCAAATTACTTAAGTCTACTCTTGATTTCTTAGTTTAACTGCCTTATACAAATTTGAACCTTCTGCTTTTGTTTTGCTCTGTGAAGGGTGAGCATATAGTTGTTGCTTTATTTGTCTGGCCGTCCAGTTGTCCGTCCGCACCATAGTCCTCTATGAAACAAAAGAAAATGACAATAGAAATGGCCCTTTATCCCTGTTCGGTCGGAATTGTCTGTCCGTCCACTTATCAAGTCCGTGACATAACTCTGTAAGAACAAAAGGTAACTGCATGAAACTTTGTAGGTAGATAGATCTCATTGGGTAGATGTGCAGAGCACAAGAACGGTAACTTTGCCTTGCCTAATTTGGAGTTATTTCCCTTTGTTCATTTTGACACTGAACTTTGTCCAGGACAAAACTCTAAAGTCAGAAGAGATATCAACATGAAACTTTGTAGGTAGATAGATTTCATTGGGTAGAAGTGCAGTGCAAAAGAACCATAACACTGCCTTGCCTAATTTTGGAATTAATTCCCTTTATTCAATTTTACACTGTGAACTTTGTCAGGGACATAACTCTGAAACTATAAGAGATATCAACATGACACCTTGTAGGTAGATAGATCTCATTGTGTAGAAGTGTAATGCAAAAACACCATAACTATATCATTGGGTAGATGTGCAGTGCACAAGAACCGTAACTTTGCCTTGCCTTTATATTTTGGAAATATTGCCCTTTGTTCATTTTTATACTTTGAACTATGTCTGGGACATTACTCTAAAACAGTAAGAGATATCAACATGAAACTCTGTAGGTAGATAGATCCCATTGTGTAGAAGTGCAATGCAAAAACACCATAACTCTGCCATGCCTAACTTTGGAGTTATTACTCTTTGTTCATTTTTACACTTTGAACTTTATTAGGGACATAACTCAGAAACTATAAGAAATATCAACATGAAATTTTGTAGGCAGATAGATCTCATTTGGTAAAAGTGCAATGCAAAAAAGAACCGTAACTATGCCGAGCCTAATTTTTGAGTTATTGCCCTTTGTTCATATTTACATTTTGAATTTTGTCCGGGACATAACTCTGACACTTTAACAGATATAAACAAGAATTTTTGTAGGTAGATACATATCATTGGGTATATGATCAGTGCTAAGAACAGTAACCCTGTCTTGCCTAAGTTTGGAATTATTGCGCTTTGAACTTTGACCTGGACATAACTCTGAAACTACAAGAGTTATTCTTTTCTGTGTCCAAAACCTATTTGGGGAGCATCACCCAGTTCAACCGATATAACAGTGTTAATGTTGCTGTAAAGTTTATAATAAATGTATGTTGAAATGTGTAGTAAAGGAATAAATGTAATAAATTTAATATTTACAGCATGGTGAGAGTGATCTAGAGATGAGATCATTTGATGACAATGTGATGAATGCCTGTGATTTCCTCAAGCACCTTACACCACAGAGGGAGAAATGCCTAAAAATGTTTGTTACATGCAAACCTTTAGTTCAGTGGCTGAAAGAATCAATGAAGAAAGGTAAGATTGAATATTTCACAAACTATTTAGTCAACAAAAACAGTCAGATAAATTTGTCAACATTTTTAATGAACAAAGGTAGTAAATTTTGTATGTTATTCATTATATGTTTTATTGTCTGATATAAACATGCATATGCGTTAATAAAATTTACAAAGAAAGATTTTTGTACGTTTCATGACATTTTTTAATTTTTGTTTTCATGATTATAGCTGGATTAAAAGAGCTGAAGGTATTTGTTGACCTGGCATTTATGTCAGCTGGTGATGAACCAATCAACATTGCTCGCGTTCAGTGTCTCCACTCAGCTGTGACAGGATATGCCCCACTTATATTTGACCTGGATGAGAATTGTGGTTACAAGGATCTCTTGAAACTTTGTGATGTTGTTTGGAAAGAACTTGAAGCAAATTCTAAGCTTCCAGATAAACTGGTAAGTTATTATTTATTTGATTGTTCTAAATTTTGTAATGAACAGTTCGAAAAATGGAAACTAGATAGGTTAATTTAAGAAATTCAGAAGGTTGAGAGTTGGAATTATCCGGTACTGGTATCAGATAGAGAAACATGGTTATAAATCCTTCTACATGTATGCCTAAATCCCAAAGACCCAGGGATTAGATGCAAATACATTAACCACTGGGCCACACATTTCCCCTTGATTGTGGTACTTGTATGAGATTTGCTTTAGAATATTTCATTTGCATATAAATATTGTGTATCATTTCAGATATTACTTGAATAAAATGTAAACTACTTGTCTTTATTCTACAGAAAGACACAAATAGACAGCTACAATGGCTTAAAGAAATCAAGAAAGCTCACGGTTCAGTGGAGGTTACCTCCCTTATGCAGGCTGAAGCTATTAATGCTAATGGAATATTTACAGTTGGTAAAAATGCATGGAAGAAAGATGCTGATGCACAGAAGATGAATGAAACTTTACTGGTACAGTATCATTTTAATATATTATTATACCCCTGAAACATATATAGGAGTCACTCGGTGGTAGGTCAGACTGTCAGTCCAGCCGTCCGTTGCATTTTCCTTGTCCGGAGCATAACTTGAAGATTAATGGTTGGAAATCAATACAACTTCATACAATGGTCAAGCACATTGAGAGTAAGTGCAGTGCACAAGAACCATAACTCCATTTTTGTCAATTACAGAGTTATTGCCCTTTGTTACTTTTCTTTGTCCGGAGCATAACTTGAAAACTACTGGTTGGTATTCAAAACAACTTCATAAAATGGTCAAGCACAATAATGGGAAGCGCAGTGCAGGGTACAAGAACCATAACTCTATCTAAAGTAATTACAGAGTTATTGCCCTTTGTTACTTTCCCATTGCTTTCATTTGTCCGGACCATAACTTGAAGACTAATGGTTGGAATTCAATATAACTTCATACAATGGTAAAGCACATTGAGAGGAAGTGCAGTGCACAAGAACCATAACTCCTGCTTGACTGATTACAGAGTTATTGCCCTATGTTACTTTTCCTTGACCGGAGCATAACTTGAAAACTATAAGTTGGAATTCAAAAAAACTTCATACAATGGTCAAGCACAATAAGAGGAAGTGCAGTACACAAGAACCATAACTCCATCTAAAGTAATTACAGAGTTTTTGCCCATTGTTACTTTTCCTTGTCCAGAGCATAACTGAAAAACTACTTGTTGAAATTCAATACAAAAAAACTACCTGTTGAAATTCAATACATCTTCATACAATCATCAAGCAAATTAAGAGGAAGTGCAGTGCTCAAGAACAATAACAACATTTTGACAAATTACAGAGTTATTGCCCTTTGATACTTTTCCATGTTCAGAGCATAACTTGTAAAGTACTGGTTGGAATTCAAAACAAATTTCATACAATGGTCAAGCTCAATAAGAGGAAGTGCAGTGCACAAGAACCATAACTCTTTCCAGAGTAATTATAGAGTTATTGCCCTTTTTTACTTTTCCATAGCTTTTTTCTTGTCCAGAGCATAACTTGAAAACTACTAGCTGGAATTCAATACAGTTTCATACTATTGTCAAGTATATTGAGAGAAGGCGCAGTGCACAGAAACCATAACTCTTTTTTGACTCATTTTAGAGTTTTTGCCCTTTGTTACTTTTTATTGTCCAATGAAAATTAATGGTTGGAAACTTCATACAATGGTCAAGGGCAGTGAGATGAAGTGCAGTGCACAAGAACCATAACTTTATTTGGACTAATTACAGTTCTTGCCCTTTGTTACTTTGTCCAGTGCATAACATGAAAACTACTAGTTGGAATTCAATACAACTTCATACAATGGTCAAGCGCAATGAGAGGAAGTGCAGTGTACAATAACCATAACTCCATCTTCAGTATTTGTAGAGTTATTGCCCTTTGTTCATTTTCCTTGTCAGGTGCATACCTTAAAAACTAATGTTTAGAATTAAATGAAACTGCAATAAATGGTCAAGCGCAATGAGAGGAAGTGCCGTGCTCAAGAAGCGTAACTCTTTTTGGACTTATTGCAGAGTAAAACTTCATCAATGGTCAAACACATTGAAAGGAAATGTAACATATAAGAACTACAACTATCTTTAATTGCCCACAATTATAACTCTATTTCAGTTCTTTTGCAAGGTATTCTGTTACTAGTAACTTCCTCATTTCCGAAGCATAGTCTTGCGGGGGTATTAATCACATTTAGTTATAGTTCTAGTTTATATATTAATTTCTTTTAACTTGTTCTCTTACTTTCCATTATTTAGTTACTAATATGATTATTTTAATTGTTTATTGGAACAATGCTTATTATTGCATAGGCTGTGATGGACATTATAAAGCTAACAGTTCCGGAGAAAGAAGGCAAGAGTCAGCAAAGAAACTACACATTCTCCCAATGTCAGGATCTACAGAGTAGACTCATGTTGGTGGCTGGAAAGGCAGAGATGGGTACAGATAGTGTGGACAGATTTACCATGGTAACAATATCTTAGCAACATTAGAATAATTGTTTTTAATTGAAATTTAGCTTTTAATTGTTGACATATTTGAATCTTTATGAGAATAACTGTTGCATTATATGAATAGATTTTAAGTATACATCATTCAGAGGCGGCCCATGTTATAATGAACAGATGAAATGTATATTTTCTGATTCAAGCCATCCTGTTAGCTAAATAGGTAGGGCATTGGACTGTGAATCGGGCGTCCTGGGTTTGATTCCCAGATGGCACAGGTCACTATTGTTGTGATTGATCATTTGCACTGTACCTCTGCTCTTGTATGTACAGATGTAATCAGTTCCATGTGAAAGTGAAGGCAACTAGTACTGGTAAACTGCTTGACAGTCTTCCCAGACATGATATGGTGGCTGAAATTCAAAATGTAAAATTTGAGAAAAAAGGCATATTTGCAATTCTTTTCTTCAAATTTTCACTTTCATTAGTATCAAAATGTTAACAGCTGGAAAAATTACTTTAGAATGTTTGGCAAATGTGATACAATGTATAGCACGTTTTACCTATTGTGTAACAAAGATGTAATTAATCATTATATTTAAATAGTGAAACCTCAAAATCTATATGTTACAGGTAGCCCGTGTCCTTTCCTTTTATAAATTAAAACATTGAACATACAATTTGTATCTTTTCACAGATATTTGACAGTATCACCAGACTAAGCAGTGTGTACATGAAACTTTGTTCATCTGGATGCGTGCTGTTTAAAGACTGGACAGCTAGATTCCTGTGTTATCCTAAACCTGATCGTCCTGTTTGTGCCATACTAGAGTTTGGTCAAGGTGATAGTGTACCTCAGCTGAAGGTAAGTCTAAACATAATACTGGATTATTTGAGCCTGTATGATAATTTTATTAAATAAACCTAAAATACTCATAATTTCAGTGCAATGTATAATGCTTATCTTTACGTGTTAAGGTAGACCATGGGTAATGCATGACCTCCACTTTGAAGAGTATTCAGATAGGCTAGAATCACTTGCCAACTACATTGAAATTGAGGGGCGTGGGTTCAAACTCCAGAGGGGGCAACTTTTTCATTCTTTTTTTTTTTCATTTTAACATTATTTATGTATCTCTCTGATCCCTTATGGAAGAAAAGAGGGTTTGATTTAAATTATATAATTTTTGAAGGTATTTATTTGCTAACTAATGCCAAAATTTATAGCAAATATGATACTAGATATTTTCAAAGTTTAATAAAATAAAAACTACATGGTAAAAGTATTTTATATTTCGGATAATGAACCAATATACCTTTAAGAAAATTTAGGCAAACTTTCAAAACAGCCCCTCATTATGGTAAATTTTATGGATATTTTGAATAAGGCATTTTAGATAGGGAAATGGTAAAATTAGTGTTTAAAGTGGGTGGGGTAGGGTAACATTTTTATACTTATTAAAAACATTTTGTGTAGAAACAAACATTTTGCTTGTGTAATTTGTTACCTGAATGTTATTATTTGTTTCTTAAAATTGAGCAATAGAAAAACATTTTTTATAATGATGATATTACAGATTATTTAAAGTTTCCTCATTTCGGAAAATAAGCCCTTCTAATGGCAAAGTTTTAGTTTAGAAATATATTCATAACTCATAAACCACATGGTAAATTTTATTTAAATTTTGCATACATGTGGACTTGAAGACATATAACTGTCCTATGTTGTCAATTTTACAGTTCTTTATGGTGCCCATTACCCATGGTCTACCATAAAAACAGTCAAAAATGTTTTGTTTTGAAGCTAGATTTATGATTTAAATTAACCAACATAACAAAGGTGATATGACAGCTTTAATGCTTTACTAGTGGACGGAAATTGCATGTGCTTCTTTATGAATTATTTCTGACACAAGTGGGCACTTAAATGAATCCAACATACCTTCAAAAACTTAGCTTAAGAGGTTCTATGTATGAAATATTTCTAAGTATGTTGTAGAAATCAAACCCATAGCAATGATGTTTAAGTGATCTGAAGCTTGGTCTTGCAGGCTTCTTTTCATAGTTGTATTTACATAATCACAAAATTGTTCTCAGAAGTATTGTGGTTGATTTAGTACACTGCGCTTTGTGTTGTCCTTAGCGACAACACAACCTATATTGTTATCGCCTTTTTGTCTTTCCCTAGCGACAACATCTTAAAGAGCCAAATGGCGCGTTGTCGCACTGTCGTCTTGTTGTCCTGTCTAGCGAAGCGAGCGACAATGTGACATTGCGACAATATGCAGCACGACAACGCGCCATTTGATCATTAGTGATAAGTCAAGAGTTCGACAACACGCGGTTTGGCACTTTGTCCTGTTGTCACTAGCGCCAACACCACACACAAAAGCATTCCAAATCAGCCACCATACAGAAACCTTTAAGTAGAACTATTATAGTAAAAGTTTTTTGATGGTACTAAATTTATTTTTGTACAATAAGGAAGACAATCTGAATGCCATAGCAACCATTGACTTTTTCCATAGCAACAGTGAATTTCCATATACATGTAGCAACCATTGACTTTCCTAAGCAACGAGTGACCTCTTTAGCAACCATTGACTTTCCATAGCAACCATTGACTTTCCATAGCAACCATTGATTGACCTTCCTTAGCAACCAGTGACCTTTTTAGCGACTGGTGCCTTTCCATAGCAACCAGTGACTTTCCATAGCAACTAGTGACTTTCCATAGCCACCAGTGACCTCTAAAGCAACCATTGACTTCCATATAACTATTGTTATATAAGTTTTGTGTGATGGTAACTAATATATTGTTTTACTATAGGGAAGACGATCTGAGAGGGAGGACTTGAAGGATATAATTCCTGAACTAGCCAAGTTTATGGAATGTTGTCTTGATGAATGGCTGGATCATATTAAGGAGAAACGAAAGACTTATCTTCACTTGAACTACTACACTGTAGACCAACTTGTTATCCTTCAGAGAGAACTGGTTAAAATGGGAATAGAATCAGAGCCGTCACATCTGGTGTATCCTTTATTGTCTGCTGTAAAAGAGAATTGTACACCAGGTATTGTCTTATACTGAAATCTTTACTATCTCAGTTATCAAAGAAAGCTCAATCAATATCCATCTATTCAATTAGGCGTGTTTTCTTTATTTGTTAATGCAACTTTCCTTTGTAATAGTTTAAAAAAAAAAGGTTACTGTTATCATTTCTGACATTGTCTGCCAAAGTTATCTACTTGAAAAAATGAAATGTATAGAAGATATTGAATGAGTGTAAGTTCAATACTGAACAAGTTGAATAAAATGAATTATGCAAGCCCCTGGCGAACATTATATTATTTTATTCAACAAGTTCAATAAATTCAGTAATGATCCTACAGGAATATAAAATTCTTTTTATCACATACCCAAATTAAAGACTGTTTAAAGTGAAAAAATTTTTTTTTTCATTGAAGCACCTATGTAACACTAACATTTAGGATGTCTTTATGTAGGTTTGTATAACCATATGACATCACATCAGAATATATGCATGGCTATGCAATACCGTTTTTACGGAATAGCAAAAGTGGCACAGGTATGTTAAAAATTTATGTATCAACTTTTTACTATTTCTAGATGACCTTATAGAGGCAAAAATTTATGTATCAACTTTTTACTATTTCTAGATGACCTTATAGAGGCAATGGCTGCTGCTAAAGAAGAGATAGATGGTGATGTAGATATGGAAGCTGTAGGTGAAAATGCTGATGATGATGAGGGAGATGAAATGCCAGCTGATGCCACTGAAGACGAGAAGAGACAAAATTTTATACAGGAACTTGTTGTAGCTGGATATGATGAGGCCCTTGCACTGAGGGCGCTGCAGTTTATGGGACCAGAGGATGTTACTGCTGGTAATAATCAAGATTAAAGATAGAAAATATAAAAATATAATTTACTACATTCAGATAACTGCAATTACATTGACATACAAAATGTATTTGACATTGTATGGAATCTTTCTTAAATTTTGGTCAAAACACATATGATCTCAGAATGACTAAAAATTATAAGAATATTATGCATAGATCTTTTTTCTGTAATATAATGCTATAGTGTTTTATATGTCATCTTAACATGTTACAAACTTGAATGATTACATTCTGATAATTATCTAGCTTTATCTATAATCTACAGGTATAGTATGGTGTATGGATCATGATGAGGATTCAAATATGTCTGATGATGTGGAACAGCCTCAAATTGATAATCAACCAATGAGAGAGCAGGTTACACCGAGACCTATATTCACTGGCTGGAGCCAATCACAAACTGACATACAAACTATGATTCTAACAAACATATCTGGACTGAGAAAGCAGAAGTATATAGCTCATTTTAATACCTTCTGATAAGTCAACTAGAAAAAGTATTAACATAACATTGATTTTTATTGAATAATATGTATCATTACAATAATGATGGTGATTGATGAATTTAAGGTTTGCATACATTAGCAACTTTAAATAAACATGTGATTTTGACTAAATTTATAAAAATCAAGGTTTATATTACAGTGATGTTGGATCGGCTCCTCTGATCAGTGATCTTACTGCATTATGGAAACAGTTTCTGGATTCTATATCTTCCAATATACGAGACTATCTTAGTCTGGAACATCTTGGCCTTATACTGAAATATCTTGCTAGAAAAGGTATGATAACTATGAAAATATATGAAAAGTAATCTGAAATACAGAGTGAAATTATTTAAGTATTGCCAATTTCTACTGAATTGTATATGTTTTGCTCTCTTTTTCAGTGAAGTATAGTCATGCAGTTACCAGCATTGATCACAAATCATTTTATCTATTTTAGTTCTTGATCTTTAGCTCTACTTTTATGTATAGAGATCTCTACCTGCCTCACCAATTTTTAAGTCAAAAGGTCACAGGTTAATGCCACTGGAACCAGCTATTACAAAGCATTTAACTGGCCATAAAACTTTGTATGTAGAGGGAGCACACCTACGAGTTTACCTAAAACTTTCTTCATAAGCCAAAACTCATAATTTATAAAGTTTTATTTTTATGATTACTTTTATTAGATACAAAAGAAGTATCCAGATCATTACCACCAGGCTTCAAAGAAGGTGAACCCAACCTGATTATATGTCCATCAGGTAAGCTGGATTATTCTAAACTTGAATATCAACATAAAATAACAATACAAAAAAAACTCACACAAGAATGTGACTGCATTATGAGACCTTTCATTGATTAACCGATGGTGTTTGTGTACAAAATTATTGCTTTTAATATTCAAAGATGATTCACTCAGGTGTCCCTGGGTGCATTATTTCAGGCACAAGCAGGCATCTGGGTAGAACCATTTTTGAATATTAAAATTAAGGTATTCCTCCACCTGTAAACTTTGACATTTGACCTTTACAGTGTTGCTGTGACTTAAATCACAACCAGAAAAAATTTATTCAAAGATTTTATATTGTAGGAGATGTATTGATGACCACACTATCTATATATATGATGGACAGAGATCAACCTCTACCTATGTCAGATGAAATACTCTTGTGTACACCTAACACAACCAAAGATGAAGTAAGAAGTTAACAGAATTATATTACAGCAAATTTAAAACACATTTTTAGTTCACATGAGCTTGCTCAGGATGTGCTTTTAGGATTGTTGAATGTAGTCGTCCGTCCACATTTGTTTGTTAACACTCTAGTGGTCACATTTTTGCCTCAATCATCATCAAACTTTGTCATGATGCTTGTCTAGTAATTGCTCGCAAATGAGTTCCAGCATGGGTCACTCAGATGAAAATCTAGGTCACGGGAGCAAAAAAATAAAAAAAATTTTTTTTTAAACACTGGAGTGGCTCTGTTTTTGACCCAAACTATCCGTAAATTGTCTGATGACTTTCTAGGTCCAAGTCTCATATATGGACCATCAGGGGTCAAAAACTAGATCACACCTACCCAAATATGGAAAAAAACGTTCTAAACACTTAGTTGTTACATTTGGACTCAATTGTCATCAAACATGGTCAGGATGCTTGTCTAGGTAAATTGCTTTGATGAGTTCGAACATGGGCCATCTTGAATGAAAAACTAGGTCACAGGCCGTTAAAGAATAGAAAAAATTTTTGTAGCTCTAGTGGTACTACTTTTTTGATCCAAATATCCTGAAAATTGGTCTGAAAGTTTGTTTTGGTGATTTCTATGTCAATTTTGAATATGGGTCACCTGGGTCAAAAACCTAGGTCCACTGCCTATATATGGGATAAACCTTTAACACTCTTAGTGGTCACTATTTTGCATCATCATAACCTGTAACACTCATGTGGTCATATTTTGCCTCAATCATAAACCTTGAAGTTAACACTCTCATGGTCGACATTTGCTCCTCAATCATAACCTTAAGTTAACACTCTAGTTGGTCATAATTTTGCCTTTCAAATCATAACCTTGTTAACACCTCTAGTGGTCATATTTTGCCTCAATCATAAACCTTGTTAACACTCTAGTCGGTCACATTTTGCCTCAATCACTTAACCTTGATTAGACATCTAGTGGTCACTATTTTGCCTCAATCATAACCTTGTAAACACTCTAGTGGTCCCACATTTTGCCTCAATATAACCTTTTGTTAACCACTACTAGGTCTAATATTTTGCCTTCAATCATTAACCTGTTATACACTCTTAGTGGTCACATTTTGCCTCAATTCAATACCTTGTTAACACTGCTTAGGTGTCACATTTTTGCCTCAATCATAACCTTGTAAAAACACTCTAGTGGTCCACATTTCCTAAAAAATTGAAAAAACTTGGGGACATTTGCCTCAACATAATTGTTAAAATCTAGTGGTAATTTTGTAAATTCCTTGTTTAAATTAAGGGCAATTTTGTAAAAAAAGAAACTCTTGGTTTTTTGCCTATATTAATTTGTCGGGGATGCATGTCTAGGAATTACTTGGAATTTTAACATTATAATTTTGGTGAAAAAATTAGGTACGGGAGAAAAAATTTGAAAAATTTTTAAATCTTAGTAAAATTTTTAAATGTACGGTTTTTGTTATAAATACCCTGGAAATTGGGGGTCTCAAATTTTTTTTATATTTTTCTATAATTTTTTGAAAAAGGGGTCAGGGGTTTAAAAATAGGTCCCCAAAAAATAAAATTAAACCTTGTTAAATGCTATTAAATTTTTACCTTGATATCAAAAATGGTCAGGATTTTTGGTAAGTTTTGTTTTAGATTTATTGTGGGTGGAAAATAGGGATTTTGGGCCCTCTTTTGAATATAAACCTTAAAATTTGTTATTTTTTCCATTTTTTAAGCAAAACATTTTGATTTCTTAAACATTGTAAAGTCCCTTTTATTTGTCTAAACATATCAATGGGAATTTTAAAACGCTCTGCAAAATTTTTTTGTTACATGTATATTTTTTAAAGAATTTGAAAAAAAATGGGGAATTTTTTTTAAAACATTAGATTTTTTTGGTTTTAAAGTTTTATTTCTCCCGTGTTTTGTGTAATTTGTTTGATTTTTTTTTTTCTTTGGTTAAATTTTGGAGGAAGCAATATTTGGAGGGAAAAAAAATTTTAGTCGGGAAAATTTTTTAGATTTGATTAGGGGGCCCTGCAGAGGAAAATGTCTGAAAATTTGGAATTCAACAAAAATTATGTTAACAATTTTTTAAAATTGGCCCTAATTTCTAATTAAGTTTTTAATTTTAAAGCTTCTTGAATTAAATTTTTAAAAACTGGGTTTTTGGGGGTTACAAAAAAAAAATATTCCAGGAAAAATTTTTACAGGGTGGAATCAGTATTTTTATGGGATGTTTTTTTCTTTCAAAAATTTTATTTTTTTATTCCCTGAAAAAATACTTTGGGATGATCAATTTTAAATTTAATCAAAACTTAACAAAAATAAACAAGAGGTAGCTAACTAAATTCCTTATTGAATTTTAAGTTATGCGGTACTTGAAAGCTTTTTTTTATGCCCAAAGATTTCGGACATATTAGTTTTACCCCTTGGGTGTCCTGGGTATTCCCGTTTTTTTTTTTTGGTTTCCGGAGAAATTTTCCATTTGGCCCAAAAAACTGTTTACCTATGAAAGTAAAAATTTTTTGTCCGGGTCCTTAATTAACAGAAAAGAAAAAAACCCCGACCTTATAAAAGTTCATTAAAAAAAGTTTAGGGGTTTAAAACAAACTGGTAATTTCAACTTAAGAAATAAGACTCTCAAACCATTTCAATCATTTTAATAATACTTGCTTCATGAATTTCCAATTTTACGGTTTTTTTATATAAAAAATTTTGAATTTTGTTTATAGAAAAGTTGGTTAAAAATTTTCCTTCCTTTAAGAAATGCTTCATTTTTGGGAAATTTTTGAAATTGAAATTAAAAAATGTTTTTACTCTTTAAAAAAATTTAAGGGGTGTCCGGGGCTAAATCATTAGATTTTTACAAAAACCCCTTTGACCCCCATTCCTGTTTTTGTCAGGATTCTTTCATTAAAAAAATTATCAAGCACTTACAGAAGTTAGGGTTTTCTCTTTGAATCCCATTCTGGAATAATGTACTTCTAAAGCTAGAACAGATGGTTATCGCCAACCACCATCCCAAAAATATCAAATATATATATATTTTTGCCTTTTGTTGTGCATATCATTGATTTATCCATAAATAATCAAAATAGGTTTCTCCACTTTCTAACTTAGTGCATGAAACAATAGCAATTATAATAACACAAAATCACAATTTCATTTGCATATTTATTCATTGATTGCATAGACTGAACTGAATTTTGGATGACTCTGAAGATAGGAGTCATGGTCATGTTCACAATTTGCAACCTACCTGTTGATGTGTACTTAATTATGATTGTAGTTACCTAGAAAACCACATAAATATCTTCTGGTAAGAAAAAGATTTTCAATGCAGATATGTACATGTATTTACAGAGTTGAAATATCGATTGTTGGTGATCTGTGGGTCAGACAATGAGTACAGATCTACCATTGTGTCATCACTGGACAAGTTTAAGAGACAACCATTACCAGCAAACACTTCTCATTTACGAGACTACCTGGCTAATAAACTAATTGTACAGGAACATGATATAGAAGGTGTTAGACCAGCAGCTTGTGTTGATAGACAAAGGTAAATTATAAAGTTTTGTTGACAGAATGTGATATATTCCAGTGTCTCATTCATAAACATATGAAATGTATTGAATTAAAGCGGCCTTCAGTGTGTCAGTGATGTTCATTTCTAAAAATAGAAGCTTGGGAAACAAATCATTCGCTTAACTAATTTAAATATAGAGAGCAGACCAGTAGATTAGAGGTATCAAGGGGTTTCCTTATTGTTTATGTATTTTATTGTCGGTAAATTTCATTTTCAACCTTAATTCTTTTGATTTGACAATTATATAAAACTTTTTATCTAAAAATAACATATTTATTCTTTAGAAAAGCTGAAGGCCGCTTTAAGTGTTTTTGTGACCAAAACAGTAGTAGCTGAATTTGATGTATTTATTCATGAGCAGAGACAAAATAACATTTAAATTGTCAGACAGTTTACAAAAGAATTGTTGATTATTTTGCCCAAGCTGCCAACATGTCCTTTCAGTAAAACATTGACTCTGACCTTTGGGTGCTTTTGCTGAAAAATTAGTGGTGGTGAAGGTCTAGTAACAGGGATCATATTTTGGGATCATTTTTAGCCTCTCACAAGTACAAAAATTTTCCTGGAGATGAGGGAACGGCACCTGCCCCCTTTTTCAAAAATTTCTCAAAGAAAATTATGTATTGGGGCCTAAATAAGGCATTTTTTGCATCATTTGAGATGCCAAAAGGGGGGAAGGGGGTGAAAAAGGCGTGTATGTATGGTATTGGGATAAATTAGTCTTTGTGTTTCTGTAGATGTTGAAGTGCAAAAAAGCTGCATTTACCTTCTATTGTAAAAAAATGGTATTGATGAAAAAGTACACACAATTTTATTGGCTTTATTTCTTCAATTTTAAGATCTACAGTACGAGTGATCAAGTCATGGAGAGCTGGTGTAGGCAAGACATTGTTTAAACATAGAAGAGAAGAAGAACTGTCACCTCTAAACAGAGGACCAGTTAAATCAAACACAGTGTCTATACCACTACAAGAGAAAACAATAGATCTACATTATGTGATAGAGAGACTTCTAGAACACACAACACAACCAGGGGAGATCACTGCCAGACTCTTCCATATTGATGTAGCTCATGAGGTAGTTTTTAATTATTGTATATACTTAAATTGTAAGTTGGGAAAATATGAAATTAAAATGGCTTTTTATGGAGGCCATGTCATTGAAATCTTTGCTATCTGTAACATTTTCCTCCATCTATGTTTTAGGGATATTGGTTTCTATGTTACATTGATTTTTATATTGTTAATGACACTATTTAGTTACTGTACAGATATTCAATGTTTCTTCGAGGTTCAATGACTGAAAAATAAAAAAGTTAAGATGCTCATGTAAAAAAATTCTGAGGTCATGGAACTTGGTTCATAATTCAGGAGGTTTCTTTGAAGTAAAATTTACACAAATATAGCATAATTTATACATGAGATAAATATTTTCTGTCAACAGGTAGAGAATGGCGTTGATTATCTTTTGTTTAACTTGCTAGTACTGGGTTGTTTGACAGACAAGACTGGGTTTGTATGGAGGAAATCCCCCACTGATATCTACCTGATTGAAACCATGCCTCTAATGATGCATGCTACAAATAGAAGGGTAATAAAATTGGTTTTTCACTTTTTTAAAAATTTGCAAATGTTTTAAACTGTATATAAGCAATATTGGGGAAAACATCAATTTTTTCTTATTTTAATCTTGGATGGAGTTTTTCCCTCAAAAACGAACCATGAATTTAAGGGTAAAGGTCAAGGTCATTTTTGACCTTTTATATCAAAAAAGGTTTTCAAACCTTAATCAATGACCCATTTGGGCCAGTTAATGACCCCTAAACCCATTTTTTGGGGAAAAAGGTAAAGGGCAAGTCAAACCATGGGTTCCCTTGTGCTCAAACTTACAGGTGGATTTGGGTTTTTTTCAGTAGAGGAACAGGGAAAGACTTAAAGTCACTTTGACCTTGTATGCCAAAACGGTTTCCAAGCAACATTGCATACAATTTCTGACATGCTGATGAGGTTTTACAAAACATCTCTTACTTAAACAAAATTTTGCATTGTTAAAAATGAGCATGTCATTTGCATGAGAGAATGCTTTTTGAGCTATGCTGAGATGTTACTCTTTGTATTTGAAAAATAATCAACATATTGTATAAAATGTCATCTAATCTGCATCTATTGGATTTGAGTTTTAGAACTTTTTAGTGTTGTTAAGGCGCTGGACATTGACACTGTAAAATTATACATTAGATTTGTTATTAATGACAGAACTAGTAAATATATGCTTATTTTATCTTCACAGGGAGCAGATTTACTGTATGTACATCCTATGTTGAGTGTATTACCAGACCTGACATGTAGATCACCACAGGAAAGCTTACAGATATATCTTGGTGTTAATCCTCATGGTATGATGTTTTTGGGGAAACTTTTAATTTAAATTTTAATGTTTGTGTCCCTTTTTTTGTAAGTTATTTAACTAACCCCTTACTGCTGGAAAAAAAAATATTAATTTTTTTTGCCACCAGTACAAGCCAGGAAAGCGTCCATGCAGTCCTAGGGGCTCTGGGAAACTAAAAATTTTTTTATTTTATTTTAAAACTTGAAGTAACTTTTCAAAATTTGAAACTGGGTGAATTATTCTATTTTGGCAGTTTTTGCATTTTTAAATGCCCGATTTATCTGCTTTTAAACATTCAAATTAATATTAATTTGAAACCATGGTGAGTGGAACATTTAATCCAATGTTTTGACATTTGGGCCAAATTCCACTTTATTTATTTAAATGATGATTTTATTCATTTTATTTTAATGTAAAATAAAAAAAGTGATTTATTGCTTTAATCTCAAAAACTCGATCAACTTTTTGAGAGAAAAAAGTTTAGAAGCCAGTTTTTAGCGAAAATTTTTCCCGTCTTCGGACTAAAACAAAGGGGACAACTTGGGATGTCAAACCTATATCCGGAAAGGGAAACCACAAGCATGCCTTCAACTTTTTTAAAGGGGATTTTTCTTTAAACTTTTTTAAACCCTTTTTTAATGAGAAAGGTTCATCCACCCCCTTCAGGCCTTTGAGTACGGGCCTGGACATGTATCATTGGGCCCTTAAATTTTCTACCAATAGGGACCTATAAAAATGTGAATTAGTAAATTTTCTGAGTGCACTTAAGGATTTAACTAATTTCATAAAATTGGCACCTGAGTGGGCCCCGTGACCAAAAGGGGTCTTTTTCTTTTTAAAAAAAATGTAAAAAAATTACCCCAAAGTCTGTCCCAATTTACATTTAGAGTCTGGACTATATCTGTGTCAGTTTCATATTGGTTGTATTGTACTCCCTTATAAAAACATTGAATGCTGTTATTTGGTTGTTAATCTCTTGTCTAGGGGCTTGGCAGAGATCTTTAGTTTATCAACATGCATGAATGACTTGAATGATGAAATGGGATATTAATTGGCTAATTTCTTTCAAAACGTCTAATGAAAATAATAGTCACAGCAGCAATGATAATGATTATCATTAATTTAACCTAATTCCAGACATTGTGGATTAGAAGATCCATCTTGGTCAGAGCTTCATCATTTTGTTTGGTTTCTGAACACACAGCTGGTAGATTTTGAGAATAACATGTTTGTTAGTGCAGCTGCTGCAGAAGATCTTCCTGGATTCTCCAAATTTGTCCTCAGATTTCTTATACAGATGTCAAGGGTAAGGAAAAGAATTTTATTTGTTGTTCAGTGTATGGAATTTTTAAAGGAGTATATTTATTTACTGGGATGACATAGCTATAGCTAGAAAATATTTGGTTTTCAAAAAGTTTTAGTTGATAATGACAAAGATTTACAAATATGGTACTGTTGAAAGAGCTTGACTTTTTAATATTTGATTTAGTGTTTATGAGTTGAACTTAATGTATGACGGTTTGAAAATCTTTTCATTAATTATCTCTTGGTCTTCATTTTGAAATTTGATTAATGAACCATAATTGAATATTTAATATTCTCAAATTAAGCATTAGCTTGCAATAGTTACAGTGCTATATTCATTCTTGACAAACGTTCTGAATACAGTGAAAGTTAGTATTTTCTACTATTATATAGGATTTTTCTACACGATCACTGAAAATGAGTGAGGAATCCCCTGGTGTAAGACCAAAAGCTCAGCTGAGAGAAGAGCGTATGGATGATGGAGAAGGTGACAATGATGACGTTGGTAATGACTTGGAGGCCTATCAGATGAGGAGGACATGGGAAAGCAGGTAATAGCTAATGGTGGCTTGTACATTTTCTTGGTGTTACTGTTTTGATATAATATCTTGTTTATTTATACAGAGACAATGTTTCAGTTAATGAACAATGCTTTATAAACATTCTTTAAGCTAGAGCTTTGAACAAAATATCCCTCTGAAGCAAGGTTTGATGCATTGAAATAAAAACCTTCATTTTAAATTCAAGACATAACTTTTTTTATTCATCTACAGACATGGAACACGAGTATTTGTGTTTAACAAACACATGTGGTTAACATGTAGTTTGTTAGTTTTAGTTTTATTAGTTTTATCTTTAGATAAAAAAGCATTTGAACATAACACAATCCATTTTTATTATTTTGTTTATTTTCAGCCCACATCCATATTTGTTTTTCAACTCGGATAGATTTACGTTCACTTTCCTTGGATTTTTCATTGATCGAGCTTCTGGAAATTTGATAGATCAACAAACAAGAACTGTTCTAGAAAATGGAATAATGGCTCAAAATTTGTATGACTCTCTTGTCAGAAATCATGCTCCAATACAAGAAAACTTTGATGCTCTCCCAAGGTAACTTAAACTGTATTTAGAAAATATTACTTTAAATTACATAAATCAAGGTGTGAAAGCATATCACCGAGAAAATCACAGTTTGCTATGAACAACTTAATTACTATGATAAATGGTTGGATGGGACCTAGTTTCTTGTAACCGATGATAGTTTATAAGCAAGTATGCAATAAACTAAGATAAAGTAGGGAAATCAGGACCTAGCAAAAGTGTATCTTATAATGGAGTGTACACTGTATCTGAGTTCACTATAAGTGTTCTGTAAAGGTTTATTCTATATATTGATGATTTATCTGCTCACATAAATAGAAACAGCTGAAAAAAAAGCTTAATTGAAATATTTGGACATATCTGTGCAGAGTTTACAAGTTACTGAATTTTCTATTAAGATTAACAATATACAAAGGTATAATTTTCCCAATTGTGTGTGTTTTTTTGTTTCAGAGATCAGAAAATCATGAAGTTATGCAATGTAATGGGGATAGAATTTCCTCATGATCCTGATGATACCTATGAGTTGACAACTGACAATGTGAAGAAAATCATGGCAATATATATGAGGTTTAGGTAAGAAAGTAAAAAAAATAATAAAAAAAATAAACACTGCAAGGTTTAAGAGAGTTGTCCAAAGAAAATTATGTGAAGTTTGTTAACAAGTGGCAATTAGCAATTTAAAAAAAAAAAGAAAGCCATATTTACAACAACAATGTAAAATAAGGAGAAAATATCCATCATAACAAATTTCTGAAACATGTGACTGACTGTTTTAAAAGCTGCAAAAAAACCATTGGATACGTTTGCATCTAAAATTTAAATTACTGTTTATGAGCATTTAGTTTTTGATTTATGTAGACATTTAAATAAACTTAAAAAGATAAAGATAAATATTACTTTAAATTCTGCCTGCCTAAATGTTTTAATGACAGGATTTCATTTCTTATTCTCTGTTTTCATGATAAGCTGGTTCTTCTGATATTTGATTATTTCATTTTGTAAAAGTGTATTGTATTGTGTTCTTTCTCAATTTTTCCAGGTGTGATATACCAGTTATCATTATGGGAGAGACAGGATGTGGTAAAACAAGATTGGTCAAGTTTATGTGTTCTCTACAACAACCACCTGGTGTTGACATGACAAACATGATCCTTATGAAGGTAATTTTTAAAAAACCTATTGGTTATTCTCGTGAAGATAATCAGAAACTATTGATGAAAGTAATCAGAAACTATTGGTTAGTCTCATGAAGGTAAACAGAAACATTTGGGTCTTCTCAAGCTTTTGGTTTTCCTCATGAAGGTTAACAGAAACTATTGGTTATTCTCATGAAGGTAATCAGAAACTTTTGGTTATTCTCATGAAAGTAATCAGAAACATTTGGTTAGTCTCATGAAGGTAATCAGAAACATTTGGTTAGTCTCATGAAGGTAATCAGAAACTATTGGTTAGTCTCATGAAGGTAATCAGAAACTATTGGTTATTCTCATGAAGGTAATCAGAAACTTTTGGTGAGTCTCTTGAAGGTAATCGGAAACTTTCTTTTATTCTTACAAAGGTGTTTAGAAACTTTTGGTTATTCTTTTGAAGGTAATTAGAAATTATTGGTTATTCTTATGAAGAAAAGAAGAAACTATTGGTTAGTCTCTTGAAGGTCATCAGGAACTTTTGGTTATTCTTACAAAGGTGATTAGAAACTATTGGTTATTCTTTTGCAAGTAATTAGAAACTATTTTTTATTCTTATGAAGGTAATCAGAAATTATTGGTTATTTTCATGAAGGTAATCAGAAACTTTTGGTTCTTTTCATGAAGGTATTCAGAAACTTTTGGTTATTCTCATGAAGGTAATCAGAAACTTTTGGTGAGTCTCTTGAAGGTAATCGGAAACTTTCGTTTATTCTTACTAAGGTGTTTAGAAACTTTTGGTTATTCTTTTGAAGGTAATAAGAAACTATTGGTTATTCTTATGAAGAAAATAAGAAACTATTGGTTTGTCTCTTGAAGGTCATCAGGAACTTTTGGTTATTCTTTTGCAAGTAATTAGAAACTATTTTTAGCTCACCTGTCACAAAGTGACAGGGTGAGCTTTTGTATCGCTTTTCCTCCGGCGTTCGTCCGTAAACTTTTACTTTAAATGACATCTCCTCATAAACCACTAAGCCAATTTCATCCAAACTTCACAGGAATGTTCCTTTGGTGGTCACCTTTAAAAATTGTTCAAAGAATTTAATTCCATGCAGAACTCTGGTTGCCATGGCAACCGAAAGAAAAAACTTTAAATATCTTCTTTTAAAAAACCATAAGAGCTAGAGCTTAGAAATTTGGCATGAAACATCTTCTAGTGAGTGTCTACCAAGTTTGTTCAAATAATAGCCCTGGGGTCAAAATTGGCCCCGCCCGGGGGGGTCATTGATTTTCCTTATATGCATATAGTAAAAACTTAAAAAATCCTCTTTTAAAGAACCCAAAGAGCTAGAGCTAAGATATTTAGCATGAAACATGTTCTAATGGATGTCTACCAAGTTTGTTCAAATAAAAGCCCTGGGGTCAAAATTGGCCCCGCCCCGGGGGTCATTGATTTTCCCAATATGCATATAGTAAAAACTTAAAAAATCTTCTTTTAAAGAACTCAAAGAGCTATGGCTAAGATATTGAGCATCAAACATGTTCTAATAGGTGTCTACCAAGTTTGTTCAAATAAAAGCCCTGGGGTCAAAATTGGCACCGCCCCGGGGGTCATTGATTTTCCTTAAATGTGTATAGCAAAAACTTAAAAAATCTTCTTTGAAAAAACCCAAATAGCTAGAGTTAAGATATTAAGCATGAAACATCTTTTAGTGAGTGTCTACAAAGTTTGTTCAAATAAAAGACCTGGGGTCAAAATTGGCCCTGCCCCGGGGTCATTGATTTTCTTTATATGTGTATAGCAAAAACTTAAAATCTTCTTTGAAAAAACCCAAATAGCTAGAGTTAAGATATTAAGCATGAAACATCTTCTAGTAAGTGTATACAAAGTTTGTTCAAATAAAAGCCCTGGGGTCAAAACTGGCCCGGCCCCAGGGGTGTCATTGTTTTTAACTATATGTCTATTAAAAACTTTAAAAAAATCTTCTTTTAAAAAGCCCAATGAGCTAAAGCTTAGATGTTTAGCATGAAACATCTTATGGGTGTCTACCAAGTTTGTGCAAATAAAAGCCCTTGGGTTAAATTGGCCCTGCAACGTGGGGGGGGGGGGGCTATATACAGGTGAGCCATCATGGCCCTCCTGTTTATTCTTATAAAGGTAATCAGAAATTATTGGTTATCCTCATGAAAGTAACCAGAAACTATTGGTTATTCTCATGAAGGTAATCAGAAACTATTGGTTCTTTTCATGAAGGTATTCAGAAACTTTTGGTTATTCTCATGAAGGTAATCAGAAACTATTGGTTCTTTTCATGAAGGTATTGAGAAACTTTAGTTATTCTCGTGAAGATAATCAGAAACTATTGATGAAGGTAATCAGAAACTATTGGTTTGTCTCATGAAGGTAATCAGAAACATTTGGTTAGTCTCATGAAGGTAATAAGAAACATTTGGTTATTTTCATGAAGGTAATCAGAAACTATTGATGAAGGTAATCAGAAACTATTGGTTATTCTCATGAAGGTAATCAGAAACTATTGGTTATTCTCATGAAGGTAATCAGAAACATTTGGTTATTCTCATGAAGGTAATCAGAAACTATTGGTTATTCTCATGAAGGTAATCAGAAACTATTGGTTCTTTTCATGAAGGTAATCAGAAACTTTTGGTTATTCTCATGAAGGTAATCAGAAACTATTGGTTATTTTCATGAAGGTAATCAGAAACTTTTGGTTATTCTCATGAAGGTAATCAGAAACTATTGGTTATTCTCATGAAGGTAATCAGAAACTATTGGTTAGTCTCATGAAGGTAATCAGAAACTATTGGTTTGTCTCATGAAGGTAATCAGAAACATTTGGTTAGTCTCATGAAGGTAATCAGAAACATTTGGTTAGTCTCATGAAGGTAATCAGAAACATTTGGTTATTTTCATGAAGGTAATCAGAAACTATTGATGAAGGTAATCAGAAACTATTGGTTATTCTGAAGGTAATCAGAAACTATTGGTTATTCTCATGAAGGTAATCAGAAACTATTGGTTAGTCTCATGAAGGTAATCAGAAACATTTGGTTAGTCTCATGAAGGTAATCAGAAACATTTGGTTAGTCTCATGAAGGTAATCAGAAACTATTGGTTAGTCTCATGAAGGCTTATCAGAAACTATTGGTTATTGTCATGAAGGCTTATCAGAAACTATTGGTTATTCTCATGAAGGCTTATCAGAAACTATTGGTTATTGTCATGAAGGCTTATCAGAAACTATTGGTTATTGTCATGAAGGCTTATCAGAAACTATTGGTTATTCTCATGAAGGCTTATCAGAAACTATTGGTTATTGTCATGAAGGCTTATCAGAAACTATTGGTTATTGTCATGAAGGCTTATCAGAAACTATTGGTTATTGTCATGAAGGCTTATCAGAAACTATTGGTTATTGTCATGAAGGCTTATCAGAAACTATTGGTTATTTTCATGAAGATATAAATGTTTCTATGACCTGTAAGGTACCGTATAAGTGGTTTTTTCTGCGGGCTCCAAATTCTGCGGTTTTTCCAAATTTTGGCATGTTTTTATTTCTGCGGCCTTTATTTCTGCGGCACATTCTTTGGACAAAACGTGATTTAATTTCCGCGACTTTCCTTATCTAAGTAACATTTCTCTAGTTTATTTTCATGTACGCATTCGCATTTGTTTGTCGTCGTCACCAAAAAACTGTACAGTAATTACAAACAATTATAATGTTTGCTTGCAAACAAATATAATGCGCAACAAAAGAAAGGTATGCATCTTTTGATCAGCGTGAAATGACGTGTGAAAAATATACTACCCCGTAATATCTTCAATTTAATACCGTAAAGCAGATGCCAATTAAAGTATTCGACGATTATTTAGCAGTATAAGGGTTGAAATGGTTTGAATGATTTAGTGATAAACAAAATTTAGCGTATCGGCAAACAATATAAATTACATGCTGTTTAAATATTTTTATTCTTAAGTTAAAATAATTAACAATAAGTACATCCTTACAAACAAACACTTACATACTTAGCAGACAACAGTTTTATTCAACTTGAAAACCCGCTAACCGTTATAATCCGTTAGTCGTTATTACTTTTAAGGTTTATATGAAACAGGTCATAATGCAGTGCACATATAGTACCAGGTTAAAAAAACAAAAACATGGAAAATATTCTGCGGTTTTTATTTCTGCGGTGCTGAAGCTGACCGCAGAAAACGCAGAAATAAAGTCACCGCAGAAAAAACCACTTATACGGTATATGTTATGTGCAAATTCAAGCTTTTTCTGTGAGGAATCATGTAGTTTGAATGAAATAAGCTAAAGTGGTTAAGGTTATTTAACTTAAACCACTTGCCTCTTCGAGTTCTTTCATATTACAAAGCTATCCATCTAGCATAAGGAACGATGATGGTTATTTATAGATGTCAGCTGTTACTTTAAAGAATTATTACATAGAAGAGCCCGTGATGTCTTCATTCACCATTGTCATATGAATTTTTCATTGTTGGTGTGAGTTAAAAAAAATATAATTTAATGTATGGAAAAGGCAATGGTGACTGTCAGAAGACTAGACATCTGCCTCATAAACTTCTTTTAGAAGAATTGTAAATTCATATACATTTACATGTATATCTTTTCATTGTTATCAAGACAATTTATATCTGTATTAATCATCTTAAAGGTTCATGGTGGCACAACAAACAAAGATATCATAAAGAAAGTGAGAGATGCTGAACAAATAGCCAAGAGGAACAAAGAAAACTATGGGAACCATGTGTACACTGTTTTATTCTTTGATGAAGCAAACACAACTGAAGCCATTGGACTTATTAAAGAAATCATGTGTGATAAAAGTATGGAAGGAAAGAAACTAAAATTATGTGAAAATCTGAAAATGGTGGCAGCTTGTAACCCATATAGAACGTAAGATATTTATTTTTAAAATTGACATTCTTCTCTTTTAAGTTTTTGCTAAAAGTAACTTAAAAATATATATATAAATGTAATTTTGCAGACAAAATTTGTAAATTAATTCAAAGTGCTATAGACATTTCTACATTTAAAAGTTAAATTGAGATATTTTACAATGTTTATCAGTTGTTATTAATTTTAATTGATGAAAATGTGGATAATATAACTTGGTAATGTCAAAGAACCTTATTATGGAAGTGTTAAGATAACCAAGAATTTCAATGGTACATATGACGTAACCTTGTCCCTTTTTATTTTGCTTTTAGACATTCAGAAGAGCTAATCAAAAAGTTAGAGCAGGCAGGACTCGGTTACCATGTTGATGCCGATGAAACAACAGATAGACTAGGTCGGGTACCAATGAGGCGTCTTGTTTATAGGGTCCAGCCTCTTCCACAAAGTTTACTGCCCTTAGTGTGGGACTTTGGTCAACTGAACACACAAGTGGAAGACCTTTATATTAGACAAATGGTCAGAAGATATGTAAGTTGATGTTTGATTACTTTACAGTTCCGTTAATCATTTCTATAGAAATTTTAACCAGTAACAGGTTTTGCAATAGCAAATCTTGTTACTAGTTTGGTGGATATCAGCAGACTGCAATGTGTCAGGGTGTTAATACCACATAGCTTGAGGTTTTTTTATCATAATATTCACAGTTTATCTTCATCAAGTGCCTTGAGCTATTTCGTCAGGACTTTCTGATAGCTGGTTTTCTGATAATTTCCCTGACTCGTTTGCACATCATCTTTAAGTTAAATTTTGCAATATTATAAAGTTATTTGGTTAGTTTTTCTTGCAATATTTGATAAACTTGAAGTTGTTTAACCCTTTCCATGCCTAACTTTCCATGTTCTTTATTATTGTTTGACCAACTTCAGAATGTTTATCTTAATGTCTTCATATGTGTACTTGATAATGGACAGTTTCAGAAATTTAAGTTGAACAGTTCCTTTTTAGACATTCAGCAGTTTATGGGGAAAGGAAGAAACCAAAGTATTTGAGTGAGAAAATGAAAGGAAGATATTATTAATGAATATATCTTTATTATAGATACGTGAAGACAAACTGCCTAGTATTGGAGGTCTAATAGAAGTTGTCAGTGCAATCCTAACTTCCTCACAAGACTACATGAGGGAACAGAAGGTAAATGAATGAGAAAAACTTTTGATAAATATCTCTATTTTAATTCAAGTATGACTATTGCTAAAAAAAACAACATAAAGTGGCTTTATCAGTTTTCACTTTCTTCAGTCAAGTCATTGTAAGTGTAGTAGATAACTTTTTCCGGCTTGTGAAAATGTAAGGAATTTTATCATGCTTCATGAAAATATAATCCATATTTCACTCAAACAAAAAATATCGTCTTATTATTTATTTTAAGTTTATGCATATAACCTTTAGGAAACAGGTTTCCTTAGGTGTCTCTTGCAATAAGAATTAACTTATTTACAACTATCTTGCAGGATGAGTGTAGTTTTGTGTCACTAAGAGATGTTGACAGAGTGTTGACTGTGATGAGCTGGTTTTACCAACAGAGTCAAGGGGAGAGAACTCTGTATGACCTAATGGACGAGAAACTATATGGTGAGGAGGAATTCACATCTGAAGATGATGATGATGAGGAGGAGGAGGAGAATGAACAGATGATTAGAGATGATGAAGGGGTAAGAATGATGAAACTGTTACCATGGTAACCATGAGGTAGATTATACAGACTATAGCAGACTAATGCTACATGTATAAGGTAGTGAAAATATCCTGCTAGGAAAGAGCTGTCTTTGAAATTTTTCAAATGTTAATGCCCCAAAACACTATTCAAAGATTATGGATACAGGAATTAAATGCAGGTTGAAAAGACTTGAATATTAAGGTGAATATTAAATACATCTATTGTTTGCATTTTCTGTACATCCTGTTTAGGTTGTTCTGTTTAAAATGACATGAAGTAACAGGAATTCATTCCTTATAATGTAACACATCATGCAATTTGTTAGGATGTTGATATAATGAATTATTTGGTCGCTAATGTATTGTTAAGGTATTATTGCGACTTTTCTCAATGCCTACATTAAAATTATTATTTTTCAGGGTGACAAAGTAGATGACATTACCCGTTCTCTTATACTAGCACTTGGTGTATGCTATCATGCCTGTCTGAAAACTAGGCCGCAGTATCGTGCACACATTGCACCAAGATTCCGTGCACCTTGTCATCTTCCAGGTGGTGCTGATCAAATACAAGAAGAGATAGAAAAGTATGTTGATTAAATCAATTATTAGCTTATTAAGTGTTGGCAATATAATATCTTATTCAACTTCGTACTCAATCAGTTATTGTTAATCATTGATGTTTAAATCAATTAGTAGAGTAAGATAATATTGCATGAATATTGTTT